ATGGAAAGGTTTAGGGAAGGATATGGTAAATGGCCATGAACTATATGCCAGTGTGCTAGCTTGTTGGTCTTGGACAATATAAAAAACATAAATGAGAAATCATTTTAAGTATGTCCTTTTAGTAAAACTAGCTTTTATTCAGATACAGCCTAATTTAATTTAGCTCTAACCACAAACTCTTACTCACTATAATGTCTTAGTCTGTGGTTGTATCATTACTGAATGAACCAATGCATCTACACACATAAACAGTGTTCTAAACATACAGTGATTCTACAAAATGATTATCTGTATAACTTATGTCAAAGCATATTGCCCGACCCTACCCGGTTCTTTGTTCTCAACATTAGCCAATTATTCATTTATAAACCCAGCAAATTAGACAACTTGATGTTCTGACAGCTCCGGGCTTGTTCCTTATGGATTTTCAGCCTCTTCGCTGCAGCATCTTTCTTGAATAAAATATTTTCTCATCTTTATTATGATAGATGATGTGGTTAATTTCTCTGGAGTCAATCAGACTCTGTAAGTGATTGTTGTTGTGAAAGCTTGGTCTGTTCAACTGCGACATAACATTCAGAGCCAGCTTGATCCTCCTATGATTGTGCCCGCTCATTGACATGATAGAATTGTACAGCTGAAGAAACCTTGCACATTTATATTTAATCTTCCAACTCTCATTCTTAATGCATGAGGAGAATGAGAGACTCCCTAAACCCCCCACGCCCCCCCACAACTCAGCCCTCTGGGAGAGGGAAAGAGGGGGATTAGGGCAGGATTAAGTCTGGTGTGAATGGGAGCCACAAGACCGCCACAATTATTCACTTCCCCCATCACTCCATCGCCCTCCCAACCTCCCCCTTCTATCTATCCCTCTCATGTACACTCACACAAACACATGAACTCTCTGTCTGTCCTTGCCCTATTTAATTCCTCAGCACCTCCAAAACACACAATTGTGAGGAACTTTGTCTCACATATCTAACCTTAATCTTATCTCTTAAGTCTTTTCCTTAGTTTGGAAATAAATCCAGCGAAGTAAGCATGAACTGAATGAATTGCACGATTAGATTAGGACTTCCTAAGAAAGAGGAATCAGAACCACAGACTGATTCAGATTTATTTTTAAATGCAGCATGTGAATTTGTTGCCGGTGCCAATAAAATTACAGGGTTGTTTTAGACTTACTCATCATGAAACAAGAAAGCCAAGTAGAACCAGATTAATGTATTAAACTGCCAATTTGATCTGCCAATTATCTGCCTGTATTAGCTAGACACACATTTATTAGACAAGGTGTTGGAAAATGTAGAAAACAATTTAAATTTAATTCAGAAAAAAGTTTGGTCATAATTGCCATCAGTACTCATAGTTAATGCTTAATAGCCTGCGAGTTAGAAAACTAGGATGTCACAACTGGCAGGTTGAATCTGATCTGAATATTAACAGACTGTTAATGGACCACTCATTTTTGAGCGATACAGCTGGTTGTTTGGCAACAGGTTCAGGTGCAACAATAGTACTATACATAATACCCAATAAAATGACTAATTGTCATTTAACACTTTGGATTTTGTACGGATTAAACGTAGAAAATATAGCATGTTAGTGAGCTTCAGAGGTGCTGGTATATTTAACAAAGATGATCACTTTGAAACGGAAATTTCAAACTTGCCAATGGAAATGTTGCTGCTGGATTTCCAAAGTTCTTGTTTCACCAGACCTTAATGAGCTTGATGAGATTAAGGTCTCGCTGTTCAATCACCTGCCATGTTTGAGTCCTGTTTGACGCAGTTTGACACATTAACTTCTGTCTCAATGTATTTGGATTTGGGTAAATGGATAAAGGGTGGGAGCTTCATCATCACTACCTTATAACCGCTCCATCACACAGAAATCAATAAGTATTTACCTGTAATGAAATGAACAATTACTCTCTGTCCCCCCCACTCGCTTTTTCTGTCCCTTCTTATTCACACACAAACACAACAAACTAGTAGCGAGGAGTGAGAGTAGAGAATTATACTTGTTTATATGTGTGATTTAGTCAATAACACCAACAGTCTAGGATTAGGTGTTGCCTGCAGTTCAATAAGTGAAAACACACAATGCATTACCCTGCCGTACCTAATGTGGAAATGGATTTACAATACTCTTTCAATCACACTAAAACTAATGTCAGAGACCGGTGAGTAAGTATGCATGTGTGAATGTTACAGTGGTACACGTTTAAGTGTTGCTAATAGGCACTATTATCATTGCAATATGTGAGTGACAGAGGGACCCAGAATATATTAATAATTTAGTGATACACTACATTAATATAGGAGTATGTGAGATGGAGAAATAAGGCAGCAGATGCATTAATGTTTACAGTTTACACATGCTAAACTTTAGAAGCATTTTCAGATTGTGTGTGTGTACTGTATGTAAGCATGTGTGTTTGAATCTGTAGGGCTATTCTGCTAGAAGCCATATTCAAAGTTTATTGGATCCCTATTAGCTTCTGCTATAGAATAAATGATAAAACCTTATTACAGTGGTAAAAAGCAAGGTCCAAAAGATAAAACAAAGCAGCTAATCTTCATACAACACAACCAAATCAAAAGCAGGAAAATGTCCTATAAATAAATGGTTCAAATGACCACATATAATAAAAAATAAAATAATAAATGCAAAGAGTGTGCCAAAAAAAGGCAATAGGCAAATGACACTAATAATTACAACAATGCATTTAGGCACACAATCATCCATAAAATTCATGAAAACTACGATATTGGATAGAAAAACATGTACGTTCAGTCATATAGTCTACTTTAGATACAGGTTTCTGTTTGATTTTCTAATACTGTTTAGTACATTAAGAAGCCCTGTACATACATGTTTGTTTTTTGGTTAGTCTTGGGTCTAGGCATATCTAATTGCCATCTATCTAGAAGAATAAAGTGAGTGACGTAGGGCACACTAGAGTCCCTAATGTTGTGTAAATCCGGCCTACATAAATTCTTTAAATTGAGTGTTCCTCTTTAAAATGCCACACATTAAGAACAAGCTATTGAACTTCTTAAACTCCACCCCTCAATACTGTGTATCCCTGTGGGTTTGGGGAGGGGGGTGGGGTGGTTAAGTGCTTCTGGGGTTGTACAGTACAACAGACCTATTAGAAGAGAGTACTGAGGGGGCAGCACCCCCAGACCCAGCATCTTTAATATTACATGTTGGCACCATGGTTCTTCGTAGCCTCAGCCAGCTTCCAATCTTCAGTTTGATTTGCTGTGGCTTTGTATGTTGGTGTGAGCGTTTAAGTGAGTGTTTATGTGTGTGTTTGGACGGCCAGCGCTGTCTGGCGATGGAGGAGGTTTGCTGTAGGTTTGCCCGTTGTCGCAGGACTTCTTCTCTCACCCTGACACTGCCCAGATCCAAACTGGTAAGACTTGAGAATAAGAGGTTTGGTTTTGAGGGGGCACCGAGTACATTTGTCCACCTGCCCAGAAAATACATTTTTAACTTCCACAATCAGTGTCTAAATACTGTTTACAGTGGCAACCTTCATAGAAATACCTCTTTTTGTTATCCTTTCATCTTCATCTAAGATTGGGGGAAAAAGTATTATAGAGTGGAATCTCTCCAACCTTATGTTAATGAATTCTGGAGTAAAACCTGGACTTGGCCTCTGGTTAAGCTGCTTGTACAAACTGGATAAAGGTGCCTCATTATGTCAGCTGTTTAGAGATGGAGTATGTGTCTAGCCTTGCAGGGCTTCTGAATCATTCAACTTTGCATCTCTGAATCAATCAATTTATCAATAGGGGATGGAAAGGTTTCTTTACTGTAACTTGGTGCAATGCTTCAGATTGAACTTGTAAAATGTAAATTGAAGACTTCTAACAGTTATAGTCACTTCATAATAGTCTCTCTCTCCATGGTGCTAAAACATTCAAACCCTGTCTCACTCTCCCTCTGTTTATATAGTTTTTCAACTCACTTAAAGCTTGAGCAACAAGCTTAATGGTTAAACTTGACTTTGTAAGTAGTTAACATTACAAAAATGAGTGTAATATGTGGGTTTGTTAGTGCTTGCGGTGATTCTAGGTTGCATGCATGCTGTGAAGTTGTGTGACAGTAATTTAAAGGCTACACATTGATCTGGTGAACCGTTTTATGTCTCTGTGACGGTTTTTGACAGTTGAAGTTTACAAGTTGTCCTCATATGAAAACACCCAACCCCCACTTGGGTTTTTCAGAAGTCAGTCAGTTGGTTGCTTGACTGACAACTTTGTCTCATTCTGAATCTGAGGGGTTTCTTTGAGAACGAGCTTGTAGCAACTCAGATTTTGGATCGTACAATCTTTGGAAAAGGTGATCAAATAGAAACAAACGCATTTTGTTTGTATCGATGCTCAGACTTTTCCTTGCACAAATTGTCTTCTTATCCTGAAGTAAAGTGCGTTTGTGTTAATTTTGTTAATATGTAACAACAGCAACAACATATAAGCTGTCTGCATAAAAGAGAGCCAACCATGTCATCCTAATAAGAACTGACAGATTTATAGGTTTGTTAAGGTCGCTCAAAATATAAAACCAGCCTCCCACCTCCAACCCTCCTCTGTCCATCAGAAATCATATCAACCTCCTGTCTTGGATCATAATTTACAGCCGTCTGAAGGGTCTTCAGCTCCATCCTCTTCATGTTAATTATGTTGGAGTAGAGCATGTCAAACAGTGCCAAACCAGCTTTGGCTTTCAGACTGATGAAACTGTGTGTGTGTGTGTGTGTGTGTCTGTGTGTGTCTGTGTGTGTGTCTGTGTGTGTCTGTGTGTGTCTGTGTCTGTCTGTGTCTGTTGTCTGTGTCTGTGTTCTGTTCTGTGTGTGTGTCTGTGTCTGTGTCTGTGTCTGTGTGTGCGTGTGTGTTTGTAAGCTTGTATGTTTGCCTCTGTTGAACTCATATCCTCTCCGTTTTTTTCTCCGTCTCTCCACCACTTCCTGTCTGTCTCAAAAGCTTCCTGCTGACCTCAATAAGATGCACCTAACAGACCACGCCCATCAGCAGGTGATGCACATGCCTCCCAGCCAATCAGGATGCAGCATTGCCAGCGACTCGGGAAGTAGCAGCCTATCAGATATTTACCAGGTGGGTACCGCAAATATATATTTTTTTTTTATTTACTGACAAACTTTTTTTTTTCATAAATGTTTGGGGTTTTATACAAATGAGGGACAACATTAAGATCATGATATAATGATGATCTCCTGAAGCTGCAGCTCTACTATCCCAGTTTGTACATTTTTCATTTGAAGGTTTAATCTTATTTTCATAAGTTTATTGAAAAACATCAAAATATAGAGAATCCAGATGTAGATTTGAAATGCTTCATCATTTAGTTCAACTACCTCTTTAATGTAGGTTTTGGAATATCTATATAGTTTTTCTCTTACCTACCACCATTATTACATTACATACAAACAATAATGAAGATTGTGCGTAGCCTTTTCACCGTCACACTATGATTAGATCGATAGATCGATAGATCGAGAGAGAGAGAGAGAGATAGAGAGATAGAGAGATAGATAGATAGATAGAAATTCAAGTATCCAGTAGCATACAAAACATACATTACATACATTAAACATACATTAAACTAAAATGAAAAACCCTGACCCTAAAAATAAAATCAAAAATAAAATTAAATTAACTAATAACACAGTACAACTGGTCTGTAGCGAAGGTGTTTTACTGAGTGTGGGTTCTCCCCGGCTTGATTTGCTCCAATTCTGTCTGTCTACCTGTAGCATATCCATTCTCTACCCTCCCTCCTTGTAATCCTCAGTATCTCACTAATTATTGTGAATCACTTGTGTGTCCTGGTGATCCGTCTCCTTCTTAAACTTCCTGCTGGGGACGAAAAGGTCACATGCAGGAAATTAACCTAACCTTTCAAGCTCTGTCTATACCTGTGGCACAGGTACAGAAGCTGTCACATTGTCAGTGTAGTTGGGTTTCTAACAATCATTTTGCAAGTATTCCTTTGGTATGCTTCCATAGGTAGTTTGCAGTGAAGAGAGTATGGTAAGTTAAGCACATGATGTCGGACATAATGTTCAATTTAGATTTCCCTAAACAGGAATGTCCTTGAGCATGGGACCTAATCTCACCATTGGAAGAACTATAGAACATTATTATCAGGAAACGCCCCATTTCCTCCCAGGTCTCCCAGTTTTTGGCATCACATATACATGTACGTATCACCTAAAACAAAGCAACATGTAGAGAATTGAAATTGTTGATTTTGTCCTTCAAATGTGAATTTATTCATGTTATTTGACCCTTGCGCCCCTTACTCACTTAATGCACAAAGTGTAAAATGTTAATTGTAATTTAAAAGTATACTTTATATTTTATTCTTTACTCTTGTATCAGAGTGTGCTTTGAAATTAAACTCCTGTCTTAACTGTAAGCTATTTAAATGGAAATAATCCATAAAAGGGTACATGATAGGGTTGTCATCTCATCATTTTAATCCCTCTGATCTCCTAATCTCCTCGTTTTAACACAGAAAGTCAAGATAAATCCAAGAACCTTTCGACATTACCTTTCAGCCTTGACCCTTCCTCACAGGGTGCTGCAGCATTTCAGTTTGCTGCTCCTCTTCACAACTACATGCCATATTCTTCATACATGTTTGTGTATGTGGCTAGGGAGGGGTTCCATTTGACACCATCTTGCTAGCATTGTTAGCATTCATCAGTGGAACTGATAAGGTCCGTTAGCTACAAACTAATCAGCTATTTACAAGTTAATGAGCTGGTATGATCAATGGGCCCTGCTGGCCACAAAACTAATGAGCAGGTCAGTTTTAGTGAGGAATGTCAACAGTGCTAATATAAAAAGTGCCAGTATAAAGTTTTTATTTTATTCACGTTTAGCTAATAAAGGGTGAGAAATACATTACCTTTATTCACCCATAGCCACCATGTCAAACTAATTTGGAGGCCTCAATCTGTATTAAAAGTGCATGTAATCTGATTATGTTGTCCATTTAACATGGCTTTCCCCAAACAAAACTTTGAACAAAGGACAAAATAGGAGAAAGTAATATGGAACAGAATTAAAAAGAGGGTGATGCACAACTGAGATATTAGGGAATATTTACTAAATTTCCAGAAACTTACCATCATGGCTGCACTAGTTATCTCAAGCGTACTAGTGCAAGAACTATGGAATTCATTTGTTATTGTCAGCAGACTTTCACAAAGTCACCTGTGTTCTCAATAGAAAACAAACAAAAGTGACATAATTCACATATTTTAACCTCCTTATATGTCACAACCTGTCCTCTCTCCTCAGCCTGTCTGCAGGCGCTTGCAGACTGATGTAAGTCAGGTCAACCCAGGTCAGACGTTTAAGACCTGAGACCTGATCTCTGCATTCTGAGATTAGATATTAATCACACGGATCTGATCCTATCAGCTTGTCGCTGACACAGCTCTGTGTTTGTTTACGGCTGTCTTAAAGCAGTGACCCTCCAGTCAGCTGTGGTCCTCAGCTGTCAATGCAACAGACTGTTTGTGTTATGGCTTGAGAATGGCTTAGAAAATGAGTGGAAGCAGTCCCCCCCCCACCCCACCACCACCACTCTCTTTCATACCTTGACCTAATCCACAGTCATTCACTTGACTCCTCCTTCCTGTTCTTCTCATATTCCTCCACTATGCCCTTTCCTTTCTTTACATCCCTCTGCTCTCAGTCACCTTTTATTCTTCTATTATTCTATATCCCTCTCACGTCACCCTATTCTTTCCTCTGCTTTTACTTTCTTTCTCTTGGCTATATCCTGAAATTGTGGTGCATTCCTCTCTCTTTTTTGTCTCTTTCCTGTGTCTGTTATTCTGACACAGCACTGTAAAATGTGGGGGTTCTTGGGTAGATCTGATGTCCCTTGTCTCTAGAAAATGTCCTCCTGGCTGAAACACGTTCTGGTACCAGGGGACTTGGACTGAAAGAGCACATCTTGCATGCTGAATGAATTTGCCCTCTCAAAAGCACTGAAAGATATGTCAATGGCAGAGCGTGAGAGGTTATTGTGTCTTGTGGATTGCACCACTGTTCTTTGCTACTAAATTAATGCTTAAATTTTCCAACAAAGTTTAAATTTAAGGCCAGACATTATTATTAATAATAACCTACATAACAGCCTCTATCTGACCATATGTGTTTCTTTTCTTGTGTTGGGAACTATAAAAAGTACCACTGCACTTTTGGCCTTTGTCTTGTTCTGCTGGCCTGAGAAATAAAACAAAACAAAAGGCCTCCAGGAATTAATAATTGAGAGGTGAAGCAAAATGTAAAAAATATTTTAACACTGCAGATGAAGCAGACAACAAGCTGCTGTTGAGATATTTGATTTGAGTGTCTGCTGTGCAACTTAATAAATATGGAGTATTTATCCCTGCATGAAATTTCCCTTTGAGATGCTTTTTGTTCTGCAGTTCCCGACAGAATAGGATGTGCATCTTGCGCCACAAATTCGTCTTGTCTCATTTATTATTGGTGTCAAAGAAAATAAAGTCAGAATTAACATTGCATTTGGGATTTTTTTTTTTTTTTTACTCTTGCTTGTCTCTTCTTATCTATTAAAGCTAAAGCTAAATAAATGTATCTGGTGTAGAACAGGGCAGCGCTGAGCAGCTGGTGTGTTTTTAAAAGTCCTCTAAATAGCTTGTCCAACCTAATTTATGAAAACAAGAGTGGACCTGTGCCTAAACTCGGGATGGACTGTTAGCTTAATCCCCTTGCCTCAGAGAAACCTATAAACCGCTTTGGCCAGGTACCAAATCTCTGTAGAACCCGCAAGCTCGATTGCATTGTTGTTTGGGGAGTCCATCTTGTATAGGGCAGGAAATTAACTTTTTCCCACCAGCTTCAACCGTTAAAATCAGTCAAATCTACTCCACTCTTCTAAACTGATGACTACCAAAATGCAAGCTTATTGGTGCCTTGGAGATAATGTCAGCCTCAATTTAGACTTTTGAACTCATTTTATTCCATGATGACCACATCTGGACATTCTTACACATTTAAAATCATTATAATCATATAACCACATTGATCTCCTGTCAAATATACGCATAACACCAGTCCTCCGTATCAGCATACCATTTTACAAAAATAATAATTACTGAATTAAATGAAAATTGATTTGAAGCACAGACAAACAGTTTTCTCAATTTTTCTATATGATTCCCTTTGTTTAGGCCCACCTGCAGGAGCTAACAGATGGCCTGCAGTGCTGCCACTAGCACTAGAGAGCTCCTATTTTCACCTCTAGGTTGATGGTTCAATTCCCACCTGACCTGAAAGCCCCTATGCCCCTTTAGAACCATACTCTGCCAACCATCTGTCTGCCCCACCCTGGGGAAATATGGTGGAATATAAATTATTACTGCTGGATTTAAATATTTGGCTGTTTGCCTCTGTTTTTTAGTTTGGGACTTGGCGTCAGGGTGTTAACTCAGGGTCGCAGGTACAGCTGCTCATTCCAAGGTTATTCTTTATGTTTTGTGTGGATGAAACAGACTGAAAGTAAAGTGGAAATGGAATGGCGCTGTGAAGTTAGGGGGAGTATTTAATTTTTTTATTCATTTTTTTGTAAATTACCTGTCTTCCAGTAGAGTTACTTACTCTACTGGTAGACATTTTTCTCCGAAGCTAAGATACTGTTTAATACGACAACTGTTACAACTAGTTGCTGGAAACTGAAACTATAAGAAATACTCGCTGGATAAAGATGATCACTTTGGTTGCTTTTTACATTACTCAGTATTGCTTTTGCAGTAACTTTGAGTTAGACTAATTGCTGTCATGCTTTGTCTTGTCTTGTGCCCCTTTGTGACCCCCTTTCATATCCCCATAATTTATTGGATTACATTACATTATGTGCCAAAGTCTTGTAATCGTAGTGAATACACTTAAACCTCATTTTAACATGCTTTAAATCATGTCACAGTATTGTGTAGGCTTTTTACCACCACTTTCTTAAACTGATGCACTATTTCAAGGCCTGCGATGGTCATGGTACACAGCACTGCTCCAATATTCATTTCTAGGTCACATTACTACTTGAAGTAAGTAATTGAAGCTTCAGTCAAGCTTTTTTGAGTCAAGCAAGTTTAATCCTAAGGCAAATTAAACCCCTTTTAAAATGATTGTCGTGAAAATCCATGAAAGTGTTTTTCATATTTAACACATAAAAAGCTTATTTTCTTTTTTCTCAAGTTAAGTTCTATGAAAGAATTCTCTACTCTCTTTGCTCCAGGCCACAGAAAGCGAACTGGGAGATGTGGACCTGTCTGGACTTCCAGAGGCTGCAGTGGACAGTGAGGAAGAGGAGGAAGAAGATGAGGACCTGGAGAGAGCTTCAGACACTCTTCTGGGCCGAGACCTGGTCCGAGAGTGTCTGGAAAAAGACCCAGCTGATCGCAACGACGATGACATTGGTCAGTGTTTTTCTATGTAATGTGTCTTAATGTTTGCTTTAAAGTATTAAGTAGTAGTAGTAGTAGGAGTAGTAAGAGTAGTAGTAGTAGTATTAAGTATCATAAAATTGCTTGAGAGTTTAATTTCTTGTTTGTGTATAATCACCCAGTTAGTGTCACACTCAATTCAATATAAATGTATTTAATTGTAATGAAACGAGGCACAGAGACCATCACCCTTGAGGACTGCCAGTTGCTATTTTTAGTGTTCATGTACACATCCTTCAGAGACACCATCTATCATTCAATAAGCACAGGGGGATACACAAATGCCTCTCTCAAAAAAAGAACCCCTCACAGTGGTATCTAAATACCAGTGCCCTTCCACTGTGTATTTTTAAGCAGGCAATCAGAGAGACGGCCTCATTAGCGGGACCCAGTGGGGTCCTGGAGGAGAAGGTGACCACATCAGAGAGCTGAGAGGAGTTGTAAAGGCCCGGCCTGCTGTGTGCCTGCTGGGAGGCTGGCCTTCTCATGGCCTTCACCACTGACTGGTTGCACTCATTCAGAGGAAAGATGCTGTAGAGAGGAGTTGAGGGGAGGAGGCATTTAAAGGTCCAGTGTAGGGTTGGGCGATATGTTTAAATTTCCCAACCAGCCGTGAGTCCAACAATCGACAATTGCCAATATATGCGTGTATGCGTATGCGCCACTGTAGTTTCTCCTACACACTTGGAAGGCAAGCATTATTCAGTTGTTTGCAATCTGCAGCTTCACTGCTAGATGCCACTAATTCCTCCACACTAGTCCTTTAACATAAGTTAAACTCTGGCTCATATAGTGTCTGAAATGCATAAATAAATACATTTTTATAAAGTTCACTCAAGTTCAGATTTGCAAATTTGAGACGTATATACTGTACTGTATACTGTACCACATCAGGATATTTTCTACTCATAGTAATATAAACATAAACATAAACATAGACATAACTGAATCTAAAGTATGTGATTCCATGATTCTCATCTGACAAACGTCCAACCATCTGGCACTTTTAACTGTGCCTGTTTAAAAACTTTTTTAAAGACCAAAGGAAAGAGGGACAGAGACACAGAGAAAGAGAGGAAATGAATGAGGCGATAACTGCAGGGGGAATAAAAGGGAGCTACTGAGCCAGGCGGCATAGTGTGCAGAGTGGAGCTGGGTCACTCTGTTCTCTGTCACAGTGCAGAGGAAGTAGCCAGAAGATCAGTAGGGGAGAAACAGGGAGTGCAAGTTTCTCATTAGCCATGAAAATCTTAAGCACTGATGGTACGCACAGTATGGTTACTGTGATCTGTGTGTGTGTGTATTATTATAATGTTGGATTACAGAGTAGGATTTGCTTGCAGTAGGGGCCATTACAAACGCTACAGTTTGTGTTAGAGATGCTGCATTTTTTCAGAGGAAAAATCAATAAGCGTTTTACCCGCACACTTGAGATGCATTGCTTTGAATACATAAGTTACATCAATAAATGCTCTTTGCATGTTTTTGCATGGAGTTTATGTTGTGTTTTGTGGGGTTTTTATCTATTTAATTACTTCCTTCTTTCCCCTCTTCCTTTTTGTGCCAAACAGAGCAACTACTGGAGTTCATGCACCAGTTGCCAGCCTTTGCCAACATGACCATGTCTGTGCGCAGAGACTTGTGCAGCGTCATGGTGTTTGAGGTGGTGGAGCAGGCTGGCACAGTCATACTGCACAACAAACAGGAGGTATGAAAGAAATCATAACACACACAGAAATTTGTGGGTGAATGGGTGAAAATGTAAAAACATCTAAAATGGAAAATAAAGAAAAGATGCGAGAAACAGCACCCAAAAATGCACATGGTACGTGAAGTTTCCATGTGTACAGGCACACACATCTTCACCATCTTCCAGTCTGTCCATAGCTAATTCACATAAAGAAACTGGTATGTGCAAAGTCACTGCAGAGTAAAAGCCCCGTCAATCACCTGAGCTGCTACACAACTAATTAATTAAGTTACATGGCCGAGAAACAGGAGCTCTCTCATGGCTGTTTGGTTACACACAGCAGCATTAGAACCGACAGGGTGATAAATGGCAATGAACTGCCAGCCACCAAGCTCCAGGCAGACGGAAATCCACAATAGCAGGACAAAACCATCCACACAGACATATACACATATACACAAATAAAGCCGTGTGCATTGAGGTCTGTGCTTCCATACCGTCTGTGTTGGGTCTAGGTGATGGACAGGTCTCCTGTCTTTGTGGAAGGTCAAAGAGAAGCATTTGGCTCCTCTCACAAGTGAGCACAACTCTGCTAAGTGAGAGAGAGAGAGAGAAAAAGGAAAATAAAAAGAGACTAAAGTGGTCTGACAGAAGTAAAAAGAGAGGTAAAGTGCTTCAGAGGACAGAAAGGGAAAAAAATAGAAGTAGAGGGAACCAACAAGGGACGGTCAGAGAGTTACAGCGAGGAGTGAAACCAACTGTCTTAATCAAGGAGTTAATCAAAGTTAGTTAGTAGTTGGTTTAGAATTCATATACCCTTTTGCCAGTAGAAATAATTCATCAAAAGATTTCAGTTGATATATAATAATATAAAACTAAATTCTGTCCAAAACGTCACTTACCCCTCTGGTTTTCACTCCTTGATATTCTATGAGATGTGTCAAATTTATGCAAACTTTATGAAAATAGCCTCTCAAGGACTTTTGTGTTCAATGTGTGGCTGATTACCTTAGCTCACCTTACTTATTACCGTCTCATCATTGCTGAGAAATAAGGTGAAGCAATGAGAGAATTGGAGATTTTCTGGGTGAGAAACAGTGAGAGAATGAAGAGGCAATGAGGAGGAAATATCAGTTATCAGGGAGCCCGGGGCTCGTTTGCCCTCCCTCCACTCGCCCACACCGGGGATGAATGGCTTGTTATATTATGCCTGCTAGCATTTCCTTTTCAAAAGCCACCACTAAAGACACAATACCTCTTCAGCACTATACTCATACCTCACACACCGCACATTGTGCTCACAATATACTAAATGTCAGCTAGTAATACATAGTCATTCTTGTGCAGCTGTGTAGCGCTCTTTGAAATCTAATGATTTAAGATAACACTGTGACACACAATGTTTTTTGTTGATCCACAACTTGTGTGTTCTTGCTTTTGTGCCAACCCCAGTTGTACCCTGTTACTACATAATAGTTGAAAACTGCAAAATGAATATACAGTGTATTGATTTACCTGTCGAAAAAGTGCATGAATGGAAAGCAATAAGAATATCCACAAGGCAGCACTAGTATTTGCAGTATAACTTGTGAAGATCAGAAAGTTTGATATTGTGTGTTTGATGTCTGCAGCTGGACCTCTGGTATGTTATCCTGAACGGGGCAGTGGAGATCAGCCATCCAGAAGGGAGAGTGGAGACTCTTTGCATGGGCAACAGTTTTGGCATCTCACCCTCATTGGACAAACAGTACATGAACGGAGAGGTTCGCACCAAGGGGGACGACTGCCAGGTAAAGAAGACTGATAAAGACAAAAAGGAAACATTTAATAATTGCTTGCTACAAGATGAGTTGATCTTCCTGCCTCGATGTGGTTGGGAACTAAAGAATTTAGTTCAGTTTTCAGTTTAAAGACAAACATCTTTGCTTGCACGTTTTTAATGTGCATCTAGAAATAAGAGTATATGGTATTGCCATTATTACCAAAACTGTCATGCATTAATAATTACAAAGGGTTGATTTTGATATGATGTACCAGACATCTTTTTTAATCTTGCACTGCTTTACTTTATTTTGCAAAATGTACAATCACAAAGTTTCTTTTTTTCTTAATTTCTTCTTTTGACTACTAGTAATGGCACATGTGAATTTACCTTACTTTTAGCAATTACAAAAGTTCACATTTGTAAGAATATGATAGCATCACTTTTGGTGTACATTTAAAACAGAATTAGAGTCAGTAACATTTCTATTGTATGTCGTCATGGAGCGGTTTATTTTCACAAATAGCCTTGCAGGTTTTTTCACAGAAGGCCGGTCTTGATATAGTGGGATGTGGGGTTAACTAGTTCATCAAGGTAAAAGAAGCCTAGCATGTACTTGTGGTTACCTCTGTTCACACTGCCCAGTTCCTCCACTGCACACATCATTTCCTGTCTTCAGATACAGAGGAACTTGCGGAAGTAGGGCTTAGCAAGGCAAATGCAGAATTATTTGGTCAAGGGAAGAGCAGCGAGTTACAGTGCTATAGGGTAGTGGCAAGTCATGTCTTGGCACTTTCTGTTCAGCGCGATATAATGGGAAGTTACTTTTGCTCCGGTGTCAAAATTAAAGGGAAGGATGCTTCTGCGAAATGGATAGTTGAGAAGATTTTGGACCGCCTTAGGTACTTATATTGAGCCTTATTTAATTGAGTTTAGTTAGTTTGAGAACTACTCTTGTTGGACCTTCCTTCCTTCACCCATCCATCCCTCCCATGCCTCTCTTTACCCGCTCTCATGTTTCTTCTCTGCTGTTGTTTGAGTACCCAACTGTGGTGCAGAGCAGTGTTTTGCTCTACTACAAGTTCACCCGCTTGCCCCATGTCATCCTCGACCAGTTCGTCTGCATCGCCCAAGAGGACTACTGGCGTATCCTCAACCATGTGGAGAAGAACACACACAAGGTGGAAGAGGAGGGGGAGATTGTGATGGTGAAAGAGCACCGTGAGCTTGATCGCAGTGGGACCAGAAAGGGACACATTGTCATCAAGGTCAGTGATTTGAAATGCTGAAAGTGTCAAGTTGTTAGATGTTAAGGAACTGGAGTTCAACCCGGTGTTGAGAAAGCATTTCACTGTTCTGAAGTGTCTACAGATGTTCGCCAAGTCCCCAGGTATAATGTTCTATATCTGAACCCAACCTTTGATAAAGGTCAACTAAGTAGTATCTCTACAAAATGTGAATCCACTGTGGAATAGAAGGGATATAGGATGGATGGTCTTGGGGTTCAAACATATGGTGAAGTTAGACTGGTGTTTCATCCAGAGCTCTACCTTTGTCAACTGAGTCGATATAGCAATACATTTAACCTGTCAAGGACATATCCTAAACCGGATGAGACAGAAGGGGTCTAACGTCTAAGGTTGAGTGGATGAGCACGTTTAATTTCACCCTAAGCTTGGGTTAACATGACTAACTACTATGATAAATCAAGTTATCATTCTTTGTCTTTTTCTTCTTTTTTTTCTTTTTTTTTCATTATTATGCACTAAATACACTGAAATGCCTTGGATTGATTTAAGTACCACCTCATTATCAATCGACCATGCCCTCACATACAGTATCTTGCAAAAACGTCAATGTAACTGCTCGGTGTTCTTTAGAGGCACCGTTAGCACTATTAGTGTTTGCTGGAGCATTTTCTTGAATGCTACATTGCAAAGCGCTCCAAGGCCTTTTGATCCTTCTCCCGAGCCTCCAGAGGCAGCCAGGTATTGATCGGATAATGGGCCTGAATGATTCTCTTGGCCACCGCTCCGAGGAAGGCTGTTGGCTCCAAAAACACATCTAGTAGGGATGAGTCAATTCACAAGTGTTAGCATTTCCGCTTCTGTTTTTGGCTTTGTTCTTTTTGTGTCTGACAAAAGTGGATGCCTTTCTAGTTTCTGTTCCCTGTCAAATGAATCATTTCCCCCAGAAACCTCTGCTCTGATAACATAAACAAGCTTGCTGAAACCACAGGAGTCGAGTTTACATGTCTTGGACATTGCATATCGGCTACTTTTGAATACAAATGGAAAGATCTGGACAAAGAAAAATCAAAACTGTTATCCTAAATAATACATTTAGATTTGCTCTCATACAAATCCACGCTAGAATTGACCTCAGCAAGAAAAGCTCAAGTGAGCATGAAAGTGTGTGTGTCTGTGTGTGTCTGTGTCTGTGTGCATGTCTGCGAATGTCTTTGTTTTATTGATGGGTGACTGACAGCTCAGTTCAATATATGCATCTTTATACTTTACGTCCTTGTCACTTTTATGATTAATTTCGACTATAATTTATTCAAAGTGGTGTGTAAACGTGCTCTCGTGCCTGCTTGCTTCAACGTGTGTGTGTGTGAGAGAGAGAGTGTGTGATTGTGTCTGTATAGATTATATGTGCCCTTGTGTCATTTCAGCTGTCTTACATGTGTATGTAGTGTGTGCTGTGTCTTTTTCTCTGTGAATCCATATGTGTGTGTGTATATATATTTTTCACCCCAGGGAACCCCAGAGCGTTTGATCATGCACCTGGTGGAGGAACCGTCAGTGGTGGACCCCACCTACATCGAAGACTTCCTGCTGACCTATAGGACCTTCCTGTCAAATCCCATGGAGGTCGGCAAGAAACTACTGGAGTGGTTCCAAGTGGACAGCCTCCGGGACACGGTGAGTTTGCGTGCATGTGGTTGGCTTTTTTGACAGTCTTGGTTATGTGTGTGTCTGCACAGATGAAGAGTAATAAATCGAACGTTTGTGTGTGTAGACCAGCAAGATTTGTATGTGTGTTTGTATTTGAGTTTGTGTGAGTGTTGGGGTTAGAGCAGACATGAAAGGTCAAGTGGGTTAGTTTGCTAGGATGGGATTGTTAAGGTTTTTCTGTGTAAGTAGATGTTAAGTTAAAACTGTATATACTCATCCATTCGGTGCTATTTTATGTGTGCAGTTTAAAATGATGGTCCTCATGCTTCTATCAGCACTCGTAATGTTTTGTATTCATGCATGTTGGTAGAAATGTATGTGTTGTGCCGTTCAAATGCCGATCAATACAAGTTCAGCCAGCTCAGCTGTCCTTGAGCCCAGTAGCGATTTATCCGTGCCTGACACTCCCATTGTCCATAACTGCTTTAACCAAAGATTAGCCTTGTACTGTCAATAGTCTTTATATGGTTGTCATTCAGGCTTATAATCTTTCAGCTCTGTTAAACAGGATCTAATCCTGTACAGAGTGAGCAAGGAGAAAGTAACAGAATGTGGGAAGACAGGAGGAAAGATGGCGTGCGAAACGAAAGAGAGAGTGGAAAATGGACATTGATGCTCTGAGTGGATGTATTTGCCGTTCTGGCCTTTTGCAAAGGTTGGACCACGGTTACCACCAGTAAATTTGCAGAAATAATTGTTTCTGATTGCCCTTTTGCTTTAGGTTTTCTTCTAATTATTGTGGGATAAAATTAAGAAGTCTACCAGTGGTTAAATGTTTTTTTCTGCAACTGTGCACATGGCCATTATTTAGCCTCCCTGCTGTTTCCCATGTTTTACAAGCTACTTATTATGATTGTTATTTTTATTTTTATTTTTTTCCGAAAATAAAGACCTATCCCATATATGTAATTGGACTGAATAAAAACTACAATTTGACAATTGGGGCCTTATTTTGGTAGAGTAACCGTTTAAACTGATTTAACCATTAATTATAAATGAGACATATTCAACATGGGCAGATTTTGACAGCATGGTAACATAGTGAGTGAGGAAACCTACACTTAAAGAACTCATGTTGCCAAGAATTTAGCCTGTTAAAGTGTCCCTGAGGCAACTATCTTCAGAGGTCCTGCATAGTAGGCGAATATGGCCTCTGACCTAACACCTACAGTATAACCACTCTGCAAGAACACTCAATACATGCTGTCAAAGCAGCACATACACAAATCGTACATGGGTGAAAATAAATGATTACAAGAACTGTGTGGAAAGAAGTGTAAATTTTGTGTCTCCAGTAATAAAGCTCTCATTGTGTCTCACAGGTAACAAGAATAGTGCTGCTGTGGGTCAACAACCACTTCAATGATTTTGAGGGTGACCCGGCCATGACACACTTCCTGGAGGACTTTGAGAAACATTTAGAAGCAACGGTAAGATCAAACGTCAATCCAAACTTCAGTGGAAAGACGATTTGAGCCGTAATTCATAAATTTTTTTATTTGGTCGCTTTTTACTTTTAAATTAAAGAGTCCCCAAAGCTATACCTGCAGTCCATGCCTTGTCAGAATACTAACTCAGATCAAACGATTATTGCGTTACTTTTTATATTCTAAAAACAGCTGGTTTTAAATCTGCAATTTGCCAGTTGTTTTTACCTTAGGAAACAAAAGCTAATTTGAATGCAAGGCTGTTTAGACTTGTAATTTTCCCATTTTTCCCCTCTTTGTCAGAAAATGAAGGGCCATTTGCGGCTACTGAACATAGCATGTGCAGCCAAGGCTAAGTGGAGGCAGATCACTCTGCAGAAGGCGTCCAGGGAGTCGCCGCTCTATTTCAGCGTGCAGGGCGGCAGTGAGAGAGGATTTGGCATCTTTGTTGAATCGGTGGAAGTAGGGAGCAAGGCTGCAGAGGCCGGACTGAAACGGGGAGATCAGGTGAGAGGACACAATGTTTCAGAGTGGTTCTGCTAGATGCATTGTGAGCTGAAAATGTAATATATTACATAAACTTAGACAATTAAATGTTCTATGTGATAGGATTAAATTATGACATTGATATGGAATTGATATGAGACAAAATATAGACATATATATATATATATATATATAGACGTATGTAGATGGAAAAATCTCTGATAAAAACAGATGAAAAGTAACTGTATGTAATGTTAGGAAACAGAAAAAAAGAGTGTAGAATCTTTGACCACTTGAATATTCAAGTTTTGGTGGAAAGATGTAATGAGAGCACATACTTGCCCCTGTAGAGTCTCACTGTGCACAAAAACCAAGTCCAAAAACTCTTAGATGTCACAGATAGACTTGTAGACATTATGAGGTGAAAGGTATTTGAAAACTGTTTCAGGGCTGGTGAACAAGATACCACAAACCTCTAGATAGAAGAGAACACTCCATATTTCAACCCTCTCTGCAATGCCTCATCAGTCCTCTTTTTATTGTGGAGTTGCTAAATAAAAGCCAGACAAAAGTGGCAAAGGTATTAAAGCTGTAAAGTCCAGGTGTCCTTCATCGCCTGGTTACAGTGAAACATTACAGTGATGAGTGATCAGGTGATACTTTTCAGCTGCAGGAACTTGGGAAGTGGTCAGTATTCAGGGAATAGAAAAAGGAACCAGATACAGTTAATGGAGGTTCTTAAAGATAACATACTTTAAAGCGAACCTGACTTCAAACTGGGGTAAAGAATCAAGCACAACAACAACCTGAAGATCACAAACATTACAATACTGGAGTGGGTTTGGGCACAAACTCCAAATTTCATTCAGCAGCTCAGCTGGGAGCTTGACCTGCTCTAAAAAAACTGGATAAAAAGCTCAGTTCATTCATTAAAACTGTGAAGAGGCAACCTTTCTTTCAAGATCCATCTTGACCGTCCTCAAAAAGTGTCAACTTCATTTCACTAGATACATAATTAAAAAGCTCAGACGTAGACTGCTGCAAAGTCAGGAGATCACCTTGAGTTAATCAAGGATTGCTCTGTTCTGTGGTTAAACTGTTGAATCTGGGAGCTGAGGTAACTGATTCATCAGAATTACTACTTAGACTGTACACTCCCATTTTGTTCCTATTTATTTTCTCTTGTCTACGTCTATTTTCTATTTAGCCTTACACACCACATTTTCTGTCTTTTTTTTATATTTAAACTACATATTCATCTCTTACAGAGGTGACATAAAATTTCATTGTTCAAATCAGGCTAACCAGCAGTCACACTGCACTGCACACTTCCCTTTTTGTGTCATTTAGAGAGTAACTGGGTAACCACATTGTTCACTCTTTGCACTTGGTAAACTGCTGATTCAAGAATAATGACAGGCGAACCAGAATACAACTAATTTGTTTTAGATTTCAGTCAAGGATAATTAACAACTTAGTTGTTTAGAGGAGAATTTAATGGATGTTCATTTACTCCAGACAAATCCCTGCACTTCAGTCTTGCTATAATTTTGTCATTTCATCTGTCTTGTTTCAGATTATGGAGATCAATGGTCAGAACTTTGAGAACATCTCCGTCTCCAAAGCTGTTGACATACTTAGAAATAACACACACCTCTCTCTCACCGTTAAAACCAACATATTTGGTGAGTCAAAGTATTTGTACTCATAGAACACAATCTGCACAATCAGTGCTAATCATTTGAGATAATGACCAATTCTCCTGCTCCTCCTCTCTCTGTACTACGATCCATCTAGTCTTCAAAGAGCTCCTTAGCAGGATTGTGCATGAGAAGAAGAACGGCGGCCCTCACATTCCTAAGATCCAGGAGAAAAAAGGCAATCGCTTCTCCATCCCAGACCTTCCTGGAGACATGGAGTTCCCTACAGACCACAAGAGCACCAGGAAAATGAAGGCCAATACTGTGTCAGGAGGACGAAACAAGATCAGGAAGATGCTGGAGAAGACCCGCTTTAGTATACTGCCGCCTAAACCATTCAGGTAAGAATATCTTTGTGGCAGACAGTTGTTGAATGGGAATACAGTACATGGATGGATAAATTGATGGATTAAAAGTAATGTTTCAGTCCAAATGTATTGTTAAAACCTGCAAGCATAGCAGGGAGAGGAACAACCACTTAAAAACCACTTTAGAGCAAGTTTTGGCCCACAGTCCTCTCTGACTGGATCTTTCTCGTGTCTGCATCAGTATTGTAGCAAGCTGCTACCATCTGCGTCTGCAATTGTTGGAAGCGTGAGCAGAAATCTTTGCTACTGAACGGAACCACTTACTTCAATCAGAAGGGGAACAAGTGATAGATCCTCTAGTGGCCTGTATGGGCAGGGAATGGATACATTTCCCCCAAATCTTAAATAAAATACTGACCTATCTTTAGTACACAGAAATAAGTTGCGGTGTGCAAGTTCTCTTCCATTTCACGCTGTATTTACAGGAACACGGCTCTAAAAATGTGGCATTTATTTCTGCACTTTCTTACTTGATGTTGGTGTCTGGGATGCAATACTTTCATTTTCAGCTGCTGTAATGTTCCAGCCAAAATCACGAACATATAAAAGGCCTCATCATCATCACCATCATCATATAAGCATTGTCGTTGTCATCTGTAACCAGCCATGGTACTTGCAGCATCTGGAGCAATTGAAAGCAATTGTGCAGATGGAGGCTCACATTAAATTTTCCACCCGTAACGTGCTGATACAGGCTTGATTTCATTTTATCATTTCATGCCTCTCCAGGCCTCATTAAACTCCATACTGTTTCAGTATGCGAGAGAGAAGATGCTGTTCTCACCCTGTTAATTACAGAACTAACCGTCAGCACGGCTCTCACATACTGCAAACACATACAGACACTGTCATGAACATCCGTGTCCCCTCACTTTTTCTCTCTCACTGTTTCTGGCAGTCTGCAGTGATTATGTCCACAAAGCCACACAGTTTGCATGGAAACTGATTGTGCTCTGTCTCATAATGCAAACACGCTATCACACGGCCATTGATCTGACTTGATGCACAGCTTCCAAAGGCTCTCCGCTGCGTTCTATTTATCGACCAAACAAGGGCTTTCATTACTTTTTATTTTGCTGCTCGGCACCATTCAAACCGCTCTTTGGTTCAAAGGAATGGATGGCTGATTAAAGGGACTGTAGATGAGAATGGAGATGAGAGGGGTGATTTGGGTCAATCGGGATTCATCAGTGCCTGTTGTAGGATGAAAATTTGACGGGAGGCAACATGGTACAGTTGTCTACTGGGTGCATGTATACAAAAGGTACAGGGTGCTCCGACGACAACGTAGTTTAAGATGTGATGCCGTTTTAAGTACTCACACATACACACACTGAACTCACTGTCCTTTTAAGGACACATTGGCGCTCTCAAGGACGAAACCTGTGACCACTGTTGCTATGGAACAGCCTTCTCACAAAGGCTACATTTTCAATGCTTTTGCTCACTTCTTCAACATCTGGCAAGTTAAATTAAGCCAAATAACCTTGCTTAACAATTTAAAATCCTATTCAGTGTGCATACATACACAAACCCACTGTCACTGCCGCTGCTTCTTTCTGTTCTTGGCTGACATTGTGCTCCTCTTCAGACAAGGATTTTATATGACAAGGACACACTGGCAATAAACAAGTCGTTTTTCTGCCAAATTAAGATGTCTGGGCCTGTGCATGCACCTTTACACACATCCCATATTGACCAACCCAGTTGATTTACATTCCACAGATTGGAAAGCAATAGACAGAGGTTTTAGCCTTTAGTCAGTTCGTCTCAGAAGCCTGGTAGATTTAGTGTGATGACGATAAAGTAGTAACCCCATGTCCCATGATGCCATTTTCATCCTCTCTACTTCTTTGCGATACAGTTACATGTGTTAAATCATGCTGCATATCACTATAACTACTGCGTTATTGAGTGTTCTCAACATTCACCCTTCACATTTTACTGCATGCTCAGTGCACTGCTGCTGCACCTGCAAGCAGAACTGTGCAGGAAATTATTACTCTGTTACATATATAGACCTGCTTGTGCACTAGTTCGTAAGACAGACATTTTTTTTTGTACTAGCCGATCTGTCTATATTCACAAACACATTGGCAAAAGTTGTGTATAGTACCTGGTCATTTTTTTGGTATCAACTCGGTTGAGGTGAGCCAATACTGAAAAGTGGAGTTAAAACAATGCAGACCGCTGATTGGTCAGAGGGAACTGTCATTAGAATCAGTCAAGTAACATGTGATACCCGGCATCCTCCTGTATTTGTGTCACGTTAAAGATGATTTCACAGCAGTTGCATGCTATGTCGCTATGGCGATCAGCCAAGAGTCCCTCCTATATTGAGAGGAAACTATCTGCATTGGAAAACAAAATCAAGAAAAGTATGTGGTACCACAAGTGAGTTAAGTGGAGTCCAGTCGAGCCAGTCTATTCAGTAGAAATTAAGCTTAATAGCTTAACAACCCATAAACCCTGAGCTTCCCATAACCTAAACTTGTATGAACCCATAAAGGATATGTTTAGGGTGTTGTCTTATTATCAAAAGGCGACATCGGGACATCTTCATTTTTATGAGCTGTTTGGTAGGTGTGCTGTTCAGTTGTGGCACAGACAACAATGAAAATTATTATTATTTTTCTTTTAAACATCAGTATTGTTTACAGTACGTTGTCCCAACATTTTGAAGGGGTGCAGGCCACAAAAAAGGGCTGATATGATACAGGAAGGTGTTACAGTCTCTCAAAACCAAAAAACGGAAAATGATAAACAGAAACAGAATCATGATATTTTGGTCTTAAGTTACCAGCACATTCTGTACTTGATAAAAGTACAATTTGTCTACTATTTTAACTGTAACATAATTTGCTCCCCAAGATGAAATACATTAATTTCATCTGCCTGTAGAAGAGAAGGTACAAGTGATAAAGCTTTATTTCGGTACTTGCATGTTTTATGTGGTACAACTTGCAGTTAATTTTCTGTTCATTTCTGTTTTTTTTCTGAAAACATATTCCTTATGTGCTTCCTGCTATAGATCATCTCACAAGTATTGTTTTGTGAATGAGGTCAAATAGTCAAGTTGGATTTCCTCACAAATCCTGCAATTTCCTGTCATGTGCTGTGTATGAGTGTGCTGGCGTTATGAAATTGCTCCTGACATTTTTTCTGCTTATTTATTTCAGCAAACCTATCAGTGTGTCCAAGCTTTGGCTATTATATATTCTGTCAGCCTACATGTGTGTTTGTGCTGTTATAAGTGTATGTGTAAGAAAAGAGAGGCCTTGTCACTTTGCTTCACTTGTATCGTTGATTCACTTCAGCAAAGCTCTGCTTCTGTTATTTTTTCTTTTCTTTTTCTTTTTCACGCTTTTCAATGTTGTCTCTCTTCCCGTTTGTCTCCACTGCTTCAGGGGCCTGTTTGGGTAAGACCTCTTGTGTAACTCCCCATCCTCTAACCATTTGATTCCATCTGCAGACCTGCACACAGCAGGCAGCCACACACACACACACACCAGCACCACTGACCTTCAGCAACATTACTCGAGGACTGCATTTATAGATTTCATGCTTATTCCTTTAACATATGAATCCTACTTTCCTGCAGAGTCAAAGTGTTCTTTCGCTTTGTTTTCACATTCAAACCCTTCAATTAAATTTGTGTTCACCACCTCTTTCTGGAGTCTATTTTTCAGGGACTTTGCAGAAAATATAAAGCGAGCTTTGGTTTATTACAGTGTTACTGGCTACAGATGGTTTTGGTTTCTTGATGTTTAACAGTCAGCGCACCTGGAATCTTAAGTGAATCAGTTTAATACCAGAATATATAAAAACTTAGAAGCGTGATAAATTAGCTTTAATGCTGGTCTAAGACATATTTAGTAGACTCTTGCATTTTCAGTGAACTGAAAAATCTGGGGGAAAAAAACTGTATCATACGATTCTCAAACCAAAATACAGTACTGCTATATTTTCTTGTAATTATCGGGTATAGTTAAGTCTGTCTTGACCTTCATTAGTCAAGTGTGAATATTATTAGACTTATTATAGTATTATTATTCAATTATTAGAGCTAACAATATCAGTCTAGTCTTATTTGAGCCCCATGCTATCCTTATCTGTCTCAATTTCACTTTTCTTTTGTCTTTTTTTCACCACCCTCCAAGTTATTTAATCAAGCTATTCTCTTTCTTTTTCTCCCCTATTCTCCATCTGCCCATGTCTGACTTTATTGTCTTATCTACTTTTTCTTCTTTTTCTCTGCCCCACTCTCTTCCATCTTGTCGGTGCAGTACCTATCGACTGGTGACTCAAAGATTACAGAGGTTTTGCTACAGCAGCACTGGGCTGTGTTAGTGGAAGCCCTGCATTACTGCACCATGTGCAGTACATACTGTACAGACATATACAGGTAGAGGGAAGCTACAGTTAGTATGCAGGCAGGATGAGATGAACTCTCTGTCTCAGACACGCAATTACTGTCACTCAAACTCAACATATTTAAATGTGTGCGATGTCTATTTAACATCAATAAATCAGCATAACAGTCAAGTGCCGATAGCAAATCACATTGCTTCCATCTTCTTTTATTCTGTTCTTATAGTATTTATATTTTGTTATTTTCAGTCTGAAGTGCAATTCTATATATTCTAGATATAGCTAAACATTTTAAAAGTCTTAGATTGACAGAGTATCTGCAGGTTTTGAAAAGTCTTAAAAACAGTCAAAACAAAAAAGCCTTAGAGGGTATTAAAAAAAAGCCTAATAATGTTAGTTATAAAATGTTTCTGTGTCCGATTGCAGCATGTTTCTATGTTTTAGCCAGCACCATCGGACCTGTCAGTGTCAGTTTAAGCAAAAAAACTTGAAAGAATGAATCATTTTAAATTGGTTAATCCATTTTCCATTTTATGCTGCTTATCTGGTTCCCGGTTACACTAATTTGATTAATTATATTATTAAAAATTATTGTTGCATACTGCTGGGAAGAAGTCAAAAAATATGATGTAATAAATAATTCCCGGTCATGACATCTCTAATGGCTTTTCATCATACTTTCATTCTTCACCAGTATGATTGTGAAACAGATAATAAACTGCAGTCAGACTGCAGTAAAAGTCTTAAATTTAACTTATATTAGTGCACCCTGCAGAAACCCTGGTTGAGTTGAAAGCTACTGAAGAAACTGTTAGTGTTATCCAGCCTTCAGGAACCCACATTTATCACTTGAGGCAGGGCTATTCAAAATCACAATACCCAACCTGTCTGTTTAGGGTTTGTCTCAGAGGAGTTGCCATTTCCATCATATGTATACCGATCCGATGATGCAGTCTAATGAGGCCATTAATGTAAAGGTTGATGTTTGCATATCCCTAAGCGCTGTCTTTCAAATCCAGTTTAGCCGCATAATGTGGCCGACTGCTGGACACACACAAGAGAACAGAGGGCTAGATGGTGAAAGACAAATAGACACAAGCTAAGAGCAGGGATACAATGTATAAATGTCCAAAGAAAAACACCTGCAAAGTCATGGAAAAACATCTGAATGATCTAAAATCCTCATTACTTCTCATTTATTTTCATATGTGCTCTGATGTTTGCAATGCTCGTTCCTGTCTCTGTTAGCTTGTGTATACCTTATGTATCATTGTCTCGTGCCGTGTGTGTGTTTGGTGAACTTGTGTGTCGGTCTATCTGTTAGTGCACCTTATCAGTTCCAACCATTCATGAAACTGCCTCATGGATGAATTTCAGCTGTGTCACTGCTGCATATTAAAAGACAAGTATAGTGATATTGATATTTTGTTGTGTCATTCTGCAAGAGTAGACATTTTGATTGAATCTCCTGATATATTTTTTTTCCCACTGTGTTACGAGTTATATTTTCTTTCTCTCGTATCCAACCCTTTTTCTTTTAATACCATCACCCAACCTGCACCCCATTCTCTTTCTTGTCCCTCCATACCGTCCTTGCTTTCCCTTTGTAGTGATGGTGGCATGGGTCAGTCTCAGGACGACAGCATTGTGGGTACCAAGCAGTGTCGTCACAGCGTGGCCATCATGCCCATACCTGGCAACCTTTCGTCTAGCAGCCCTGACCTGCTGCAGCCGGCCACCAGCGTCCTCGACTTCTCCAACCCCGCAGGTAAGAAAAAAATATTGACAAGAATGTCAACAAATGAAGGAATTGAATGAAGAAATGTTTCATTATTATGTTCCATAATACACCGATTGGCTTATGTGTTGTGCTAATAAAAAATCTTACTGACTTCTTTGTGCACTTCCCATTCAAAAAGTGCAGAGAATTTGTGAGTAGTACTGTAATGACACATTTTCTACTGTTTTCCTTTTCAGTGAGTCATTTGAAGTGTTTTAGATAATCTGACTAAACTGTTGGATCATTTACAACAACAAACAAAACAAAGGGCGTCTGGAGGCCCCCCAAAATAATAATAATAAAAATAAAAATCTTTTTTAATAAAACAGCGGCCAAAACTTCAAAACTAAGATCCATGTTGTAATAAATTAGAATTATCCTTTATTACTTATTATCTCATTATTCTTGGGGGACAGCATGTTAACTCTTGTCCTGTTTCTTTCTTTGCATCTTTCTTACTAAATACATTTGATTATTAGTTTAAGAAGTACATAACACTTGAGAAAAACAACTGAACTTGAAACTTATCTCTCAAAGTGAAACTCAGTAAAACTCAAACGTGAAACAAAAGATTGAACCAAAGCACATTCATGGAAAGACAACCTGTCATAAGACAACCTGAATTCCTAAAAGCATCCAAAAATCCTATTTTTATTCATATTTGTTCGCTAAACAAGTGAAAGCACTTTGTGTCAGGGAAGCAAAGCTTTCATTACACTGATTCACAGTTGTTGGCCTTGTTTCAGGTGTCTCAGTCAAACAATTCACTTCTTCTTTCCTGGGGCTGTTTGTCACACTTGACTTGAAACCTCTGACTCATTGAACAGTGAAAGCCACTTGTGGAGTGAAGGACTCCAATGCTCAGAGATGCTAGCACCCTTAATCACATAAAGCAGCCATATGAGAAGTGTAGTGACGTGTGTATTTGTTTTTCTCGAACACAAACTTCTCTCTTTTATCTTTCTCCTTGAAATTCAAAGAAACTCCTCAGAAACACTTAGGCTCACTTGTGCTGATACAGGAACAGACATTCACTCACTCAAAGTATACACACACACACACCACCGAGGTCTTTCTTTTTGCCAGAGAGATGTTGTAGAATTTTGTCCGTCTGACATGAATTAACCTCCTGGACTATAAGACTTATTTATTCATTTTCCTGTTAGACAGGTTTTTGCGGTCATAGTTACAGTAACATGGATCACTCCTGTGTATACTGTGTATGTATGAGACTGAAATACTGAGAGAGGAGAGAACAAGAAAAAGAAAGTGGAAAGGTGAAAGAGCGTGAGAGAGTGAATATGGTCCTGATTTATTCCACCAGCCATTTGTCAATGAGCTGCACACACTCAGACAGACACACACACACGCACGCATACACAGCTGCAAGTAGATCCGTAGTTTGTAGACCTATATATCACATGTGGTTGTGTTGTACTAGAGTACAAACACACACACTGACTGGGCCTCATTAATTATCCGCTATTAGATGAAGTTTCCTTAAGTCCTCTGGCCTCCCATTAGATTTAATAGTAGAGGGGAGAACAGCCCACTCAAACTCAACCCTGTTCCAGATGCTTCGCAGGGCGTGTAATACCTACAAAGTCCTACCTGTAATTACATTAGCATAGCTGATGCATCCAATATCAAGTTTCTACTGTCTATACTGGGAAGTATGAGCAACATGGCTTTGGGGTATTTGAAAATGTTGTTTAGTTTGTTAGTTTGATTGGTCATAGTCATTTTATTTATGGTTTTAGGTAGCTTGTGGGTTGTTTTAATGTGCCACACAGGTTTTTTAGGAGGAAATCATTTAGATTTTATAATCACATGGAATCTGATTTCATAGGTATGTCTCGTGTGCCTGTAACTGCTTGTTATCGCTGTTTATCTCAGATTTTTATTCTTAAAGAGGCTTTAGTAAACTTCCTGGTTAAATTAAGGGTTCTGGACCTAGTCTTACTTTATTATACAGTATTAGTAAAAGCGAGTAATTAAAATAGTTTCTTTTTAAAACAGTTTAAAACATACGTTATAAAATGCTTAAAGTGCAAACCTACAAAAGAGAAAAAAGAATATGTTAGAATAAAATCAAAGACAAGCAAGCGTATGTTTGGCTCTGGGTGAAGTTATACTCTCATATCCTTCATTGTCTTTTGTCTCTCTTCTGTTCCTCTTGTCCTCTCCCTCTCCTCCTGGGTCTCTCTTGCTGTGATTTTAAACAGATGTTCTAGTGTCGACATGATGAGTCATTCTCGGCCCCTTCTGGTCTCACACACAGATTAAGGCTACACTAGAAACTCCACTGGTCTTCCCTCCTTTTTCCTTTCTGTCATGATGTTTCCAACCTCTAAATCTCTTTGTGCACTCTCACACTCTCTCTTCCTCTCATATTCACTGTGTTTTCTCTTTTTCCTCTCTGCTTGCCAAGCCCTGGGACTGTACTGTAAGTATACAGAACTTCAATGCCACTGTTTGGTTGTGCTTCAGTAAATATTCCTCCCAAATGTCCCCTCCATCTTGTCTTTTTCTTTCTTTAATCCATTAACTTATTTTCCACATTCCATCTTTGCATCTCTGCATCCATGAACTGCATCCTTCAGGCTCTGGGTTTGGGCCTTGTATTGTATTTTATACTTCTTCCACTTGTTATCTATCCTTGTGAGACTATGAGTATCAGAGTAAGGACACCTTAACTTGGTGAATGAGCAAACAAACAAACATTCACCGGGGAAAAGCACACCGCTAACATCAGTTTGCAGGCTACATGCTCAGCTGCAGCGCATTGAACGGCATGCACACTTACCTGCAAATGTCAGTTCGTCCAGACAACGCATGATAAGCTACAGCTCAAGTTTTTTTTTTTTACTTTGTTTCTCATTCCCCTGCTTCCGGTACAAGAGCCTGCAGGTTACTGTTGACCAAACACAGCCATTTATACATCCCTCCAGCCACTGAGACAGAAAAAATAAATAGTTTTTAGACAAAAACTCAATTTTATCACGCATAAGTAGTGCCAAGCTTTGGTTAGAGAGACAATACTTGTCAGTAGGATATATTAATTGGTGGTTTAAATCTCTTTAGTAGTATTGGTGATAATAATGAAAACATAAAGTAACACCAGGCTTTAACATAATTTCCCAACAAGTACGTTAAGAGACATTTTTTTTTTCGTTTCTGTTTATTTATTAGAGCCATGGTGTTTAACCCCAGCCACTCTACTTCACTCTTCTTCAGCACCCCAAGCCATCATGCCCTCCTTTCTTTTGCTCGGTATGCTTTCTTATGTGATTTATGTCTTCCGACTGTATGATAGAGTGACTGGGAAAGGCTCTGGCAAACAGTAGAAAGAAGAGTGAGGAGGAGACTGAGGCTTGTGGAAAGTGTGTAACCTCTCATAGTGCTGTGGTTGCAAAAACCCACGAAGATTACCCGTGTAGAAATCCTCTTTGGCTTCAGTCCATGAATAAATTCTCTAGTGTTGATGAAAATGAATGATACCTTATTAAAGATGATAATTGATTGGATGTTTGGCTGGACAGGCAACGATTGTCCTCCTGCGTGCAGGTCGGGTCGCAGCTAGTCCAGAGGTTTAAATATGATTAAGTGCCCCGGATATGATAGCCAGCTATTTAGCCGAGAGCTTCCCACACTCTAATCACAAATCACAGCTAATGAGACACAAAGCATTTGGCTTCCACTCAGCCCACCCTCAACACCCTGCTGCACATAAACAGAGAGGAGCCCTGCTACAGCAGCAACGCAGGAAACATGGAGGGAGCCACAAACATAGTCCTATGATGCCATTTTTGCATTTTCTGATTCTAAGAATAAATGTTTCTGCACATATATTGCCTTCTTTTGGATAAAAGTGTGTATGTCGTGATTTAAATCAATAAGCTCACAGTCGATAGAGAGGTCATCCATCACCAAGACTGGCCTCAAACATTAAAACATGAATATTTACACATTCCAGAAGTAAAAGTCACACATTATATACAAAGTGGGAAAACCTCTGGATGCTTGCATTTAAATAAAAAAATAAGTTACTACAAATATGCATTCAATGTACACATATAAATGTACAATATATGTAAAGAGTCGACCAGTAGGAAATACAGAATAGAAAAAAAACATGTGGGTGCATATATATGAATAGAAAAAAGAGAATACATGAATATATTCCTGTATAAATAGAATGCCGAGAAAAGAAACAGGAAGCAATAGCAACATGTATACACATGGACATATCCAGACTGATGCTACGTACCTTAAAAAAAATCCTCATTTATATATCACAGATATTGAAAGTACAATGAATCATGTACACACAGTGAAACACACCAACAGGCTCTTTAAACAAGCAGAGGTGACTGATTGTCAGCATTCACTCTTAACGTTATTGTTATTGGCTTTACCTTCAGCAATTTGCTTCTGCTTATTGTGCTGCTGCTGCTGCTGCTGCTGCTCCTGCTGCTGTAATGATGATGATAATAAAGCTGCCCCAGCTATTGTCATCGAAACACACGCACACACACAGTCACAGACAATTCAGAGATCTGTTTGCTAATAAAGGTGAAGGTAATGACTTTGTGTCTGAGCACACTTAACCCTTTTCTGCTTGGTAAACAGGAGGTAGCAGGTGTGTATGTGTGTGCACGCATGTTCCTGCTTTTGAACAAACTCATCAGTCAAATAGACTTTTTTCTGGATTATCTTTTCGTGATCTCCCTCCATTCTCAGTTTATGTGATTGAGCTCTTTGGCTGCCTGTGGCTAATGGGCCGTACCTTCTTCCTTACTCAAACACAGGGATCTTTAATGCAGTATTTCACTCAGGGGGAACATTTCCATTATTTAACACACATCGTGTGAGTCAAGTGCAGCTGCTTCAGCATCAGCTGCCCCAGGAAACTGTAGCTTTTATTTTGGCCTCTTACTTTTGAATATTGTCTTAAATCAATTAAACAATAATACTGTGTGTCACCTGACATGGAAATACAAAGTAATTTGGGGAAATTATGCCGTTTTATTGTTTGTTATTCTAATGAATAATTCAATTTTGCATTCCTAGCTTTTAAATGGCACATTGCATAATGTGGCTCAGTAAATGATTTAAGTTTAAATGATTAATTATTAAATGATGAAAGTGTGTTTTGATTTTTTTTCTGATGTAAGGTTCATAGCTTTTGTTTTACTTCAAAATAGGTTTACCTATAAAGTTATGTGGAAAAGATGACATGAATAGATTTTAACTTCTAATTTAAATGTAATTATCAGAAACAAAAGTATGTCCAGGTCAGGTAACTGAAAGAAAATGAGAGATGATAATGTGTGGATTGTCACTGAGAACATAATTGCATGTCACGTGTGTGGTTTCTGCTGCGTCTACCATTGTCACCCAGCTCTTGGCACATTCTCCTTTCTAGCTGCATGTGTCCTTGTTTCTTTATCTTGTTTGAGCTTTGTGTGAGGCTCAAAACGCCTGTAGTGTACATGGTTACTGTGAAAGAAGACCTGTGATGTCTTTTATCATGTCATGTGTACCCGTATCCCCCAGAGTGATTAACAACATTTGTTTTTGATGCACAGTGTAAGAACAAGTACAGTCTGTCTGTTTTTGTGAACATCTATGTATCCACCTATAACAGAGACATGTAACATACCTGCCTCTAACATAAAAAGTGCAAATAATGTTATTAAACTAATTGTAAGCGTATCCTTACAGCCATGTGTAGCATCTTCAAGCAAGTCCATTGGAAATGTATATAACAGCCAGGCTAGAAAGAAGATGAAACAGAGTGTTGTGATTTGGCTCAACAGTAGGATAATGCAGAAATGCCATTGTTAAATATACATTTTAGGTTATTATAACGGCAGAAACTGTGTATTTGACCCTTTGCCCATTTGGTTTTACACCAAAGACGTTTTGGCAGGGGAGTTGTCAGCTCAGCAAATCTGCTTGGAGTAGACGATGTAAGTCTTGTCACCCGAAACACTCAATAATGTAATGAAAATAAAATATAGAAACCACAACCTTATAGCATCCCTGCCCTCATTTCATAATGATCACATTATTGGTACATTACTCAAGAGAAAGATAAATGCCAAAACTTGCAAAGCTGCACTGTTTATTATTGTAGACTTCATTACATTTAGTTTTACTGCATTATCGGCATTTGTTATGGTATTGGCCTCCACATACTGTAACCATCAACACTAATTAGTCACTGACAGCGCTCCTCTTTTCTTTCTCTTCCATTTTTAGACATCCCAGACCAGGTGATTCGGGTGTTCAAGGCAGACCAGCAGAGCTGCTACATCATCATCAGTAAGGACACTACCGCTAAGGATGTGGTCGCCCACACTGTCAATGAGTTCGGACTCATTGCAGCACCCGAGACATACTCCCTTTGCGAGGTATCAGTTAGCCCGGAGGGAGTCATAAAACAGCGTCGTCTACCCGACCAGCTCTCTAAACTGGCTGATCGGATTCAGCTCAATGGCAGGTAAGAAACACAATAATTACACTGGTGTCATGCCTTGGCCTGAATGTGGTGAGCATTAGAGGGATTCTGTCTGAAGCTTAAGGTTCACAAAGCAGCACACAAGAATTAATAAACCAGGAAGCAACAATATTTCATGGTCAGGGAAGCATATTGGTCCTGGAAAAAGGCATGGACATACGTATTTACCACAGTGGGAATCTTGGACAAAAAGAAGTGGAGCAGAGAATTTGAGAATTTATATAGACCTATGTCTAGTTGAAGACTTGAATGACTGAAGCCATGACCCACTGTGCTTGGACTCAAAGCCCACAATCCTGAGACATAGGAGATTTTCCTTCCTTCCTTCCTATTCTTTTTCAAATTATTTCTGGATTGGGTCAACTAACACAGGACCACACAGTGCTCAGTATTTTGTGCAGCTTCTTTGAGCTTTATTCTGTAAATAGATTTCTTCTGTACTGAAGAAGAATTTAATCCAATACCACATCTTTCCCAAATCACTACTAACACAGTGGGTCAGACTTCATACTCATACAACAGCTTGAGCTTAGGTCTTCTAGAATGTTGATCATGTACATTGCATATATATTGATTAAAATTCTCCTAGAGGAGTGGTTCTCAATCGTGTTCCAGGGGATACAGGATAAACGGTAAATTGTAAATGGACTGCATCTAAATATAGCGCCTTTTTTAGTCCGACCACACAAAGTGCTTTACACTACATGTCACATTCACCCATTCACACACATTCACGCACTGATGGCACAGCATCAGGAGCAATTTGGGGTTCAGTATCTTGTTCAAGGACACTTAGACATGCAGAGGGTGAGCCGATACTATTCTGTGGAGTTGTTAATTCACTTAGCAGTCTTGAGGTGTAAATCAGTTCAAAACCAGCAGGGCTCCAGGTGCAGACGAACAGGATTCAGAACCACTGTCCTAGTTCAGTGGAATGAATAAATCAAGTAGTGTTGCCCCATAAACGGGCTGGGAAACATTTTTATTTGCTACTTGAAACAGAAGACAAGCTGCAGTTTGTCCCATTAAAAGAAACAAAAACAACAGTTTACAGCTCACAGTGAATTGCATGTGATGTGTGTGTGTTTCCTTTGCACCAAAAACACCATTGCCAGTATGTTTTTTTTTTTTTAGTCTGTGGCACATCACACGTCTTCATGATGCCAGACACATTCCCTTTTTAAGATGAAAGTTTGCAGGACATGAAGGATAATTGGAGTGCAGCCATAAAGTCTGCTTTAAAACGGCTCCTCCGTCAGTTTTTCACACTTTTCTCCCTCTCTCCTGGTCTCCTGTGGTCCCTTATCAGTCCCCTCCCAACTAGGTTAGCATGAATATTTCATCCTCTGTCAGGGGCGGAGGCCTCAGCAGACAGCATGGCATGTCTGGAATTATTCATACACACACTCGCATGCACACACGGGCACACACAAAGATATAGATACAGGCAGTCACCTTCATATACACAGTCATGCATCTATACACGTATAGACATGCAAATAAGATTCGTGCAAAATACTATACGCGCAATACTGTGTTTACACAAGCATACATATTTGTATTTATGGATTCTATATGCATGCATCTACACACACAAAGTCTCAAACATGTATAGACAGAGACACACTCACTCATCTAGAGGACACTCATGGTAACACCTTCCCTTGGATGGATGGCTGAGCTGCGTAGAAAAAAAACGTTTTACTGTGAGATATTGGTAGGAAAAAGGATTGCAACTATCTATAGATAGCCTCTCTCTCTAATAATGTACCTTTTACTCTGCTGTTTTTTTATATGTATCTTATGGTAGTTATTTATAAAACAGTCATCATTTGCCTTTACAGATTGTTTATCTTGGCGAAATTACGGACTCATTGACAATCCACTGTCATGTTTGTCAGCATTTTTACATGTATACATATACTTGGCGCAGTGTCAGCAGGATGTATATACAATAGTATGTATACAGTAGAGTTTGCAGTAGTAATATTTTTTTAGGAGCAGTAAACAAAGATATGCTTCTCTTTCTCTGTGTCCCACCTCTTCTGTTGCTCTCTATCTGTAGCTGATGATTGACAGAAGGTCTAACGGGCGGAAAGGCCGAGCCAATAGCAAGCCTTGTTCACACTGCCAAAATACATAAAAACAACCAGTGGCCATTTACACTGGCTTTGTTCCAGTAGCTTCCCCTCGCCCAGTTCTATTTAGCACCACTTTGTCCATCATTAATTTAGTCTCCTCTCCATATCCAGAAGATAGTGTGTTTATTTACATTTTTTTGTTTAATGAGACAGGTTATTGATATCATTTTAATTTACATGAGAAAATTGGACCATTAAATGATTAGCCACTCTCATCTCCTTCTTTCGCTTCTTCTCTCCTCTCCTCTCCTCTCCTCTCCTTTATTCTCCTCTCCTCTCCATTTCTTTCCTCCTCTTTTCTCTCCTCTTCTCTCTCTTCTCAGTTCTTCTCAACATATCCTAGTTAAGTGTCTTTATGTTTTTAAAAAGATTTAAAATCAAAGTCTCAAATCTAAATCAGTAAATCTTCAGTTAAGTCTTTCGGCCTGATTTTTAGGCTCTCAAATGTAAAAAATGTCTTGTGCTTTGTCCTACACATAAAATTCAGCTTGATCTTCTCACCTCACATCTTCACATCTCCTCTCGTTAGTTGCTCTTCTCACCAGCTTTTCTGGCAGAGTAACAGAGGGCCATTTAGAGGCACAACCATGCCAATACTTTGCCCCTGAGGGCTGTAGTGCACTACGGTGCTGCATTCCTAGATGACCACATTACAGCTCCATTAGAGTAGAGGTGGGGTGTGGGTGTTTTAGATTTATAAACATAGAAGCACATAACAGGGTAAGAGAGATGGCCTGCTGCTGGAAGATCTCCCAGAAAACTGTTGGAGATCAAGCCTAAAGAGAGATGGCTCTGTTTTTCCTCTCACTCATGCACGTGTCATCATTCTTACCTTATTTTTGCTGAGTTCCCTGCTCTTCTCTTTCACTCTGTCTTTCCCCTTCTTTGCCCCAAGGTAAAATATGTCCGTGATCTATCAATACAATCAGAGTATTTATTCCCTTTCCTCAAACTAATCTTAAATTGGAGACAGAAAAGGTGTCCCCTTTAAGATGAAATGTGAATGAGAGGAATATTCAAGGGATTTATCTAGGGTTTATTTTAACATGTCAAAAGTTACTGCTGGCTAAAAAACTGGATCCTGTCCACCCACCTGTCTGTCTCTGCAGCCTATATTAAAGCATCTGAGGATACTGCAGACCTAGTAGCTACTGCTCTAAAAATACAGAGATGACATCACTTTCAAAGTATTTCACTTAACCTAACTTGAAATGTCAAGGAACGATATTTTTTACTTGCCCCAACTCTAATCTTACTTCTGCATCTCATCCTCTTTCCTTTTATTCGCCTCACCATAGGTACTACTTGAAGAACAACATGGAGACGGAGACGTTGTGTTCGGACGAGGATGCCCAGGATCTCCTAAGAGAGAGTCAGATCTCTCTGCTGCAGCTCAGCACCATGGAGGTTGCTGCCCAGCTCTCTATGAGAGACTTTGAGCTCTTCAGGAACATTGAGTCCACAGAGTATGTAGATGTGTAACATTTTTTTAACCGTAAAAACTTTATATTGATGGAAATTTTCCAAAAACTAACTTCATAGAATGCTTTACAGATAAAAAGATAATAAAACAGATTAGATAATAATTAGGAAATAAAACTGCTGGTGGTATATTAAGCAGCACAGGATGTTGATACACATTTAATTTTTTTTCTATTTTAATGGTTCCCAGGTACGTGGATGACTTGTTTAAACTAGACTCTTCAATCGGAAGTGGTAATCTCAAACAGTTTGAGGAGGTGATAAACCAGGAGACCTTTTGGGTCGCCACAGAGATCCTTAAGGAACCCAACGCCCTGAAGAGGATGAAGACCATCAAACACTTCATCAAGATCGCCCTGCACTGCAGAGAGTGCAAGAACTTCAACTCCATGTTCGCTATTATCAGGTGGGCTTGGTGTAGAAAGAGTTTGTGTGTATATTGGCTTCCTGAGTGGTGACACATTGTTTCATATTTTTTCTAATTTTTGCCTCAGTCATAGTATAGTAGTACCATCAAAGATATGATTCCTGTTCTGAGGAGTGCTAGCATTTACTCTGTCTCCACTGACAGCTTTTTTGCCAGATGAGCTTTGGCCTCTTGTCTCATTCCCCATATCCTCACGAGAACCTGCCTCCCCTCCCCCCTCCTCTTCTAGCTCACTGAATCAGCCCTGATTCTCCCAAACCACACAGACTCTGCCTCAGCAACCTTACAGCGTCTCAAGAGTCTCATAGCAAAGGCTACACTTATTGTTTGTTGCTGTTGTTAATTCCCTCTGGTCTCTGTGGTTTTGGCTGATGACTCAGATGACTATTAGACTGAGGTAAAGATGTGTGTACTGTGGCCCTGTTTTAAGAGGTAAAACCCACATTAGAGGAGAGGCAAGATAGTGCTGGTAGTAGTCTGTTTTAGGCATGGACCTGGGAACGTGATTGTGATTGAACCCACCAATATCTGCATACATGTTTATTCATCATGTGCAAGTGTGTTTGTGTCTAAACAGGCAGTTGTGAATTTGTGTATGTGTATTTTTTCAGCTGTATATATAATGCGTATTTATGCAGGAGAAGATTTACTTACGTACTGTATTTATCTGTATTTGTATAAAAGCATTTTTAGTAAGGATGCACCGAAATCACTTTTTTACCAAATATTAGTACTTACATTTGGGTACTTATGAGAATTTAATACCATTACAGCTTGTAAAGTGTATCGGACACAATACTGGTACCGGCCAGTGGTACCGGCCCTGCGGCAGTTGCCCACTTTCCCCGTTTCATAACCTTAAATGTTTTATTCCAGGACCACTTCTGTTTCCCCTATATTTTATTTTAATCATCATTAAAACATCCTAGGTTAATTTTTTATGCGGATGACACCACTTTTGTCTGTCTTCTCCATCTTTGGCAATATCAAATCCGAAAGCAGATTGCCAAGTCCTACAGCTGTTTCTTATTGATCTCAAACTGTTATTACATTAAAGATTTTTCTAAGAAATTAAAAAGATAAAATACTCGAAATAGTAGAACTAGAAAATGCTAAAATAAAAGCTGGTACTGAATCCTGTAGGGCCTCTTAATGAGAGCAGAGACGGAGGATGACCTCAGCTATTAAGCTTCTGCTGTGCATCCTGACTATGATTAAGCTAAACTAATTATTTTTTTATACATACAGTAGCATCATTGTGGCTTCACTGTGTAAATGGGACCTGAAGATGATGCCACTCGACACCTCCTACTTCTTGCTCCATGTTTACTCATTTACTGCTGCACCAGTGTCCCAGTCCCAAGAGTAATTATTCAAAAACAACACGTCATGTTCTCTCTGTAGCCTAGCTTGGTTAATAGGTTGTTTAGACACATTTGTTTTGCAGTGTGCTCTTTTCAATCTGCGGTATAAAAATAATCAAGAAGGATATTTTCTGCAATGTTACTGCAGCATACGTTTAAGTATGAATGAATTAGGATTCAGTTCTGCAGTAGCTAGCATTGTAAATGTAATATGTTGATTAATTGAAGTGATTACATTTTCTGTAATACAAAATTCTCTCGACTTTTTTTCTTAAAAGGATCCATGTCACACTTTCGCTCACACTAAGCTGTCATCTTGAGTCCACTTTAGATCTGGATTTACAGTTTAAGGAGCTGAGCAGTATGGTGATCGTCTGCTCACTGCTGTAAAAGGCACTTGAAAACAGAAGTGCCTGACCTCCATGTCCCTTTACACTCCTCCTCACAGCATGGTGTCTTTGCACATATGGCTCTCTGATGCATAACCTGCCCGGTGACAGGGGACTTTGCTGCTGTGTGGGTGTGTGCATATGAAAGATAACGTGCAGGGTTTCCCATAGCGTTTTATTGTGGTCACACCCCCGCTCGGCTCACTTGAAATCACTTCCACTAACCTCATTTATGCTGGAGATATAGGATTATTTGAGTATGCGGTGAGTTGTTTAAAAAAAAAGGAAAAGGTTAAGTGGTAGATGTGATGACTTGAGAAATAAAGGAACCAAGAATAGGGATTTGGAAATGAAAAAACAAAAATATACCTGCCAACAGAGAAGAGGAGAGAGGTGGAGGAGGGATGGACAGTTGATGAGCTAAAGAGAAACGGACAGGAACTGGAAAGATAATGAAAGAGGGGAGCAGAAATAAATGCTGTGCCAGTCATAATTATCAGCTGTCTAAATGAGTTTGCTCTGAGATGACATTGCCTCAAGGGGTCTTCTGCTCTGGAAAATGGAAACCTCGCTAACTAAAGATGGTTAGCTCGAAAAGTGGTAATTAAGCAAATGCCATTATGGTGGTTTGATTGGGATGTATGTATCGAACACACACACACTACAAAAAAAGTATAGTTTTAACTTTTATACTTTCCTTTTTTCTCCTGCACCCTCTTTTCCCAAAATGTCTACCTTTATCCTCCTCCTCCCTTCTACCCACCATAATCTATTTATCTGTGCCTCTTCCCTTCCCTTCTCCTGCCCTCCTTACACCTCTTTCCTTCCTCACATAGCGGCCTGAACTTGGCACCGGTGGCTCGGCTGCGGAGCTCTTGGGAGAAATTGCCCAGCAAGTACGAGAAGCTTTTTGGAGACCTGCAGGACGTCTTCGACCCGTCCAGGAACATGGCCAAGTACCGCAACATCCTAAGCAGCCAGAGCATGCAACCACCCATCATCCCACTGTTCCCAGTGGTCAAGAAGGACCTCACCTTCTTACATGAAGGTACCTTTGTGGAAAGCCCAGACTTTTTTTATGTGCCATGTGTTGCTACATTTCCTTTAATTGTATATAAACTAAAAAACTGAGGCCATCTCTAAAACTTGAAATGCTCTTCTGTATATTTGATGTCCCCTACTTCCCCTGTGTTTTGTGGAAGGTCATTTTCAGTCTTACTTAGGACTTCTGCTATAGGCTTCCCTATCTCACATTTTTAAGGTATCGCACTGAGTCAGGTCAAAACTACCCAAACTGACTTCTCCTTAAAGGTTTTCTCTTAAATGTACGGCCATACTAGGAATTAAAAAGAAAGTTTCCCTATTTGTGCAAGTTTCTAAAAATTCTCAAGTGGCCTAACATGACTCAATATGAAAGAAACCACTTTGATCTCCTAGAGGAGTGACAAGAAGACCAGAACAAGGAGATTTTTTACTTTGAAGATTTGACTTTAAAATATTGTTGCAAATTGCATCTTGCAAATGTGACAAGATATGAATCATTTATCTCCTTTATAATTTTGACAGCTGACTTGACACTCACTGGTTGTGTATGTATTTGTGTGTGTGTGTGTGTTTTGTACTTGTGTCTGTCCTCTCAGGCAATGACTCCAGTGTAGATGGTCTTGTGAACTTCGAGAAGCTAAGGATGATCGCCAAGGAGATCAGACATGTGGTGCGGTTGACCTCAGCCAACATGGACCCTGCCCTCATGTTCAGACAGAGGTTGGTTGTTTTTGATACCAAGAGTCCTCAAAACCTTTTATTCTCAAGATTGAAGACCAATTTTGCTTTGACTTGATGCTGTTGGGGCTAGTTTTATAGATTCGGGTCACTTAAAAGCTTTATATGGGGGCTATAATTAGCTTAATTAGCTATATCACAAAAGTGTCACACCCAAAAAAGCCAAGAAAACTGAGAACTTTAGAGGCTAATATCATGAAAATGTACATTTTGTAGCTTTTATCAAAAAAAATATATTGGAGTGGGACTCTGATGTAGATTTTGTGGCTCAGAAATCACCATAGGACCTAATAAACAGTTAATTTCGTCTTCAATTAATATACTGTGAACAAATAAGTAAATTTGTTTCGGTATAGTAAGTGATAACAAATCATCAACTCCCTTTAAATATGAGTATTTTTGAAACTGACTCTTCCTGTTTACCGTCAGCCAGACTCAGATCTGTCACTTCTCAGAAAGAGGAATGAAAGCAGAGTGCAGTATAGCAAGGTATATTACAGGGTTTAGAAAAGACTGCAGAAGCAAAAAGGGAACCACTACGCACCATACCTCCACCAGCCAACCTGGATCCTTCACTGACAGGATCAGGCACACACGCAAGATCTGGTTTGATCCATTCCCATTCACTTCCTGTCCAGTTCATGGCTCTTGTTGGTTCGATTGCATCCCTTTGCTGGAATGTAACAGCACGAGGACACAAAGCATGGATTGACTGGAAGTGAGGTAGAATTGATACCAACCGCAGTGTGTATTTGTACCACTCAGTTTGTGTGTGCTATCACAGTCTGTCACTGCTGCAGTGCATGACTGCCCCCTGCAGGCACTCCCTTCATACTACAAGCTCAAGATGTCAGAGAAGATATTTTACACGACTTCAAGACTCTTTTAAAAATCTTGTATTGACATTATATCATATGTGACAAACATTTTTCAAAAACCCCAAAAAGTTGACACAACAACCTGTTTTCCTGAGTGTGTGATGCACAAGGCCATAACACATACATAGGTTGATATGGGGAGATGTCATATGTCTGGTGTCCTCCCATCTCCAATCATGTCCTGTTTGTTTGTTGTGGCATGACCTCTACATAGTCTTGTCCACCCCAACCCCTGAACTTGTCTTTAAGTCACGCTTCAATCTTCACGCCTCTTGCTTGCAGGAAGAAGAGGTGGAAGAGTTTAGGGTAAGTTTGTCCTGGTACCGGTTTCATCCTGTTTCAGTCTGGACCAGCAGAAATTAAATCCACCCTGCATCCCCACCACCCTAAGCTCTGCATGCCTCCCCTTGAGTGTACATGCGTGTCTGCCTGGGCTTGTGTGTGATTAACCCTTCCATTTGCAGTGCCCATTCACCTGAACCATTCTGAATTCCACCATTGACCCATTAATTGTTTGCCCTGTTCATAAGATTGTATGTTTGAGTCATATAGTAGCTTAAAATGATATGTAGCATTTGTTTTGACCAAGAGGTTCTAAACACATTCACATAATGATTGTTGTGGTGTTAAAGAAAGGTGTCTTTTCTTGGGCCAAAAAGGGAAACATAAGACAACTCAACTTCACAGTTAATAAGCTGGTTAATAAGTTGGTTAATAAGTAAGTCCCAGAGTGATTGCGCATAATATGATATATAGTTGATAATAAAATCAAAAAACAATCTAACCTCAAGGCCCATTTAGTATCTGTTCAGGGGCTTTGGATCATATGAAATGATCCCCATCAGCAGATGGAGTTTGCCCATTCACAATGGAACTGTAGATGTTCAAGTTTTAGTTTTTTTAGAGCAGTTTGAAGACTTCTCGTCCACACTGGCTTAAAACTGAGGTTCAAAGTTCATTTTTGACCTGACAAAATAAAGCAAATATTCACAGATACTATTTGACTCAGGTTTGGCGTTTGTTCATATCTGCATCCTGGCATAATATTCCCCATATCGAATCTTGTGCATCTTTTGTTTCCTAACCCTTTTTGCCTCCATCTGACAGAATGTTCTGCTGTTCTGTACTGTGATAGCATGGCACACCAGCGAGAACTGCCTCCCTCCCAGTTGCATGGTCCTGTTTTAAAATGCTATGCTCCAACACAAAGACAGATGTACAGATTTTATAATAGAAGAGGTATTTGGTGTAGGTAGTTGTGCCTTTTTTATTGGTGATTGGACTGATGTTGTTTACCACTCTTTCCTTCCCTCGTTCAATCTGCCTTTTTGTTTTCTTTCTTTCGACTTTCATGTGCATTTCTTCTGTTCCTGTCTTATCTTCTTCATTTATCTCCGTCCGTCCTCTACGTCTTCATCTTTTCTTCTCCTTCTTCATTTTCTTCCTCTCATCTCCTCTTATTCTGTCATTCTTTATCCTCCTTCCTTCTCTCCCCTCTCCCTCATTAGGTCTTTGAGTCAGGGCAGCACAAACTCCAACATGCTGGATGTGCAGGGCGGCGCCCATAAGAAGCGAGTACGCCGCAGCTCACTTCTCAACGCCAAGAAGCTGTACGAAGACGCTCAGATGGCCAGAAAGGTGAAACAGTACCTGTCCAACCTGACAGTGGAGTCAGATGAGGAGAAACACCAAATCATGTCCCTGCAGTGTGAGCCGTCCTACAGCACCTGTGAGTAACACAGAAACTAAGACTAGTTTTTTCAATATATACTGTACTGTACACAATATCCATTTGTATTATTGGCTTTCACTGCCACCTAGTGTATTTGCAGATGTCCTGCAGAAAATAACGGATTAATTGATACATATATAGTGCAGCATGCATGTATTGTATCATCCAAACACACAATGCTATATCATGTTTTCTTAGCGGTTTAGCATAACCTAAATGTGTAATTTTTTTTAAATTGAGTCATTGTGCTAAAATTCCTTTTTTGGCTCATCTGAACTGTATCACTGTATAACAGTGCGTAATTGGTTCATCACAGCAGTCAGAGAAATGTTTGGCCACAATATTAATCCAATCCTTTATCATATTATTACTGTGACAGTGCCAAAAAATAGCAGTATGTTTAGGTATGATACTTTTATCAGTTTTGAATGTCATAATCATGCATTTTATGCTGGCAAGACAGATCTATTGTATGGTTTCTATCTAGGTCTAGAAACTCTTCAGCCCTGTGAAAAACCTGTGATGTAATTTTAAATCAAATCAAATTCAGGTAGATCTTGAGAGGTTTCTCAGTTCTGGTATACATCTGATGTAAAGCTCACTGTCTTTTATTATATTATTGTAATATTTGTTCTGTATATCTACTTGAGAGAGGTATTACTACTAACGTATGTCACACTGAATAGTTAAACTGAACTTCTTCAGAACATTTAAAGATGAAAGATGTTTTGAAGTAATGTTGGGGTTTTTTTGTCTTCTTCCTGTGGTTGTAGTGTCTAAAAACTTGAGTGAGAGACGATCCACCAAGTCGGACATGTCTCCAGTGTCTCTGCGGTCGGCTCTGCCCTCGGGGAAAACACAAAACAGGGTGTCACAAGTCCTTCAGGTCCAGGTCCCACTGAACCCTCTACGAAAGAAGAGCACTGCCAAGGACATAGGCACGCCTAGTCAGTAAACCTGTATTATACTGTATAACATCATTATACTAATTTATTTAGATTTCATTTTTAGATTTCTTTTTACTTCATTTTGTTTAGAATTTAATTTAAATCATCTCAACTTCTCTCTCCTTCTACTTGTATAGAACAATTAGATTAAGGCTTATTTTAAGATATAGTGCGTACAATAATTTGTGCACACCGGTGAATCCTTAGTGGAAGAAAACATATATTTCCAAATTCTGTATTACTAAAGATGTATAACAGACTCCCAGGATAATTTACTTTTCTGTAACCTTTTTCTCTCTTGTTTTTCTTCTCCAGACTCCAACTCTCCCCAGGTGGTGAAGAAACCTCCAATGAACTCATCAGAGGAGTGGAGCACCAAGAGACCATCTGATGACACCGTCTCAATCATTTCCTCCCTTCACTCCAGTCCCACAGTGTCGCCGCAGGGCTCCCCGCGCAAAGGTGTGCTCCAGAAACCGTGCTTTTCACCCTGTATGCTTCTAACCAAGGAAGGTTACATGAGGAGGAGCCACAGAGTAGATCTAGGGAAACAGTCACTTCCAAGCAGTGTTGAGTTATTCAGAAACCACATCTGGGGTGAATACTTATGCATGTAAAGTAGAAGTCACTTTATGGTTAATTTACACTTTTCCTTCCTTAACTGCTTTTAGGATTGCACATTTTTTGCTATAAATAATAACTGAGATAGTCACTTTGTCCTGAAGGCACCCAGTGACTTAAATGTCCAGCCATCTTTTTGTTTAAATAAGATTGCTGGACAATGCCCATCATAAGTTGAATGAAAATCCCTTTCTTTTCAGTGGGAGGCGTGGCCAAGTCCCAGAACTCCAGCCAGATGAACTTGTCGGGATCTTCGTCGTCACTGACCAGCGACGCCAGCACAAAGGCCGGCAGTGTCAGCCTGCGCAGCTACGGCATAGGTGGGGCTCTCCTTCACAAAAGGATCCTGCTGATGACCAGGCAGAACAGCCGAGAGAGTAGCAGGGAGAGAGAGAATCAGACAGAGGAGGAGAAGAAGGAGGAGAAAGGAAGTGAAGTGAAAAAGGAAAAAGAGGAGACAGAGGAAGTTCAGAGAGGGAGATCCAGGCAGCAGAAAGACCAGGGTGCACAAGCAGATTCAGGGCTAATCTCACAGAGGGTTATAGCAGGAAGGACAGGTATGCCTGTGGTGCACCCCATGACCCACACTGGGTCTCCTCCCAGTCTACCAGGGTTGGCACCCATGACTCTGTCACCTCTTTCCCAGCCCCAGTCAATGAGACCCAAACTTCCAGAGTCCCCTATCAGGACGAGACTGCTGTCCCCTTTCAGGATACTGAGGGAAAGGAGTCAGTCCAGGGAGAGGCCGATTGCAGTCAGGCCACATCTGAACAGTGGGGAGGGAATGGGGGAGTTTGTGCCCCCCTCACCTCAGGATGAGAGACAAGGACAGGCAGAGAAGAGAGCCAGGAGGTCAGCCAGCCCAAACCCCTTCCTTTGGCTCTGCAGGGACAGACACAGCAGGAGAAAGACTGTCTGACAGAGATAGCTGATTATATGCTGAGAAAAAACAAGGAATTTGAGATAAAATGAAAGAAAAAATGAAGCTAGCTGTATTTCAGTGAGAATTTTTGTCAGAGGTTGATGATAAATTCCATTCATTGAGAATCCATCACAAAGGATAGCCTGTTAAAGTGATAGCACTACATTTTGTTTTGGAAGCACTAAAGCAAGAGTTAGTCTCATATCCACCATGAGTCATAGAATGGTGACGTGAGAAAGAGTTTTCCCAGCAAACGTTCCAAGCAGATAAGAGAAAAATAGATCTTGCTTGTGGCAGTAACAACAAATGGAAAATCATTTCAGCTTGTTCTCTGATTTCTCCTTGGTTTGTGGGAATAATGCAATAATGTTGCAATGTCACTGAACAGCCAAATGTAGCAGAATATGTCACTGTCAAAGCAGAAAACATATTAACTAGAACGTTTTAATCCCAAAATGAAGGATATTTTGTCACTATGAAGCATTCTTCCTCTGAGATCCAATTTTGAAATGCCTTTTCCCAAAAAAAAAGATGAATTTATCTTTCCTTTTGTTGGTGTCAAGTGTAGGTTTTGCTATGCGACTTTCTTCTGCGGCATACAGAATTGTATTGCCACGTTCCTTTAAATATCCGTTAGTTAGAAATGATATGGTTCAGCAGGTTTTTGAGTATATGAAGTTTAAACTGTGACCCCTGTAACAGTTGTACACTGTAAACAGTCCTTCACAGTCATTTCGACACAGTTCTGAGGCTCTGTTCACATTTCACAGCGTCCATTTTCTGTACTGTGTAAGTGTTGATGGAAATTATTGTATGACATAGAGACAATGATGAGTATTTCTGGATTAACAGTGTTATTTTTAAGTATTTGCTATTAAAAAGGGAACACGAACTTCAGATTCAGTCTCCCCATATTCAGTATCAGTATGGATTTTTATTTTTTTGGTCACCTTCTGGGTGCAGGGTGATTTTGAAGTGCAGTGACTATCCAACATTGCCTAAAAAATTATAGAAAGATGACCAGTTGGGTAGAGCTACACACTACCACTGCCAGGGCTTTCTCAAAATAATTGTAATATAATCAACATTCATTCTACTGGAAGGTGCTTTTAGAAAAAAGTTTGCATTTACTGCTGGCTATTTTTATTTCTTTACTTTGTCTTTCAATTTATTTTCTATTGTTGCACTTTCCATCCTTGTCCCTTCCCCATTTTGCATTTTCTTCATTATTATGTTCTGTATTTTACTTCAAGTTCAAATGTTAATGTTCTTAATGTTGCTCCAGGTTACACCCTCCTACCAGCCGGTAAAGCAGACAACCTGTCGGACTCGAGTCACAGCGAGATCTCCTCCCGCTCCAGTATCTGTTCAGTTGACTCTGTGCCTGCTCCTGGGCTCGAAGACCGGTGTACTAGTAGCAACAGGACCTGTACTACTGCTGCTAGTACTACTGCATCCACTACTACGACGGCTGCTGCTGTTCCTGAGAGTTCGGCAGCAACGCATGCACACTTAAATGTTGATTATAATCAGCCCAGCACAAGGTAATTAACTTCAGTTCAATTCATTTAATCTAATCTGTCGGGTTGAGTTCATTAACTTAAGTTAAAAAGCGAGCATTAAACATTAAGTAAGTTTCCAAGTGCTTGTCTTGGAGTTTTTCTAAGTTCCACAACAAAAAGTTTTTCACAAAATGGCAACAAGGGGGAGACCTGGTTTCCCCAGCTAAATTTCACCCAGAGATCCTCACATTCTCTTAAGTCAGACTAAAACTTGACCCAATGTAGTCTCTAGAAGTCTAAATATATTGTTTTTCCCCACTGAACACTTTGTAAAACTCAGAACTGTTCATGCTTTGATGAAAAGCTGTGCTCTCACTACAGAGCCACTCACTGCACTGTCAACTCTCAACACAAAAATCCGTAACCAGACGTTTGCGTCACTACAACAGAAATAACTAAGCCGTGCTTCCAAAATAATTTACAGTAACCAGGTTACTACACGGCATGTGAATGCTTTGTTTGATTACCTGTGTAACCTGAGTTAACTTGTGCATGTGAACGTGCAGACTGATACTCAGCAAACCACATCCATCTTAAGTCAGGTGAGATAAATACAATCACCAAAGTCTCAGTGCAGTATGTTTCTTTTATTCATTATTATAAGTGTTGTGAAAGGTTGAGGCAAACCAATGGAAAATTTGATGCATTCCATTTCCCCATCTCTATCTGGATATTTTATTTGGATAAAGACTCATAAGCCAGTCTCAAAACGCTTTGCTCTCTAATTGTCTGGTATCGCAAGACTAACTTGAATAAGGAAGAACACATGTTAATTCCAGGGGTAAATGCATGCAGAATGTGTTTGGATCAGCCAGACCATTGTGATCAGATCTCAACCAGGTGTAAATGCAATCTGTACAGTGTGACCAAATTCTTAAGTGAGAAACCTTCCCACAAAGTTGAAACTCCGGCTCTTTTGGCTAACCAAGCCCAACAAAAACTACAGGTAGTAGCACTAACGTTATTTAGATGGGATCGCGATGCGGGCACAACTGAGCTAACGGGAACACATTTTAATACTGAATGGCGATTAGGCTATGCTTTTACAGAAAGAAAGGGACTAATATCTGCAGTTGTTAAATACATGTAGCTCATTACACAATATCAGTGTGGCCATACAAAGGTAGACAAGCAAAGAAGAGTCACCTGTAAAAAGACATTATAGCGTCCCATAACGTCTTCTCTTTAAGTCTCAAATTTTTCCTTCAGTCTATGTTAACATTCAATTGACAAGCTGAAACCCAGAAATAGTAAGTGCAGCACTCTATATAAAAAAACTCTTCTAAAATGCAAAGCCTCCCTCTGGACTGAATTTAAATTATAAGAGGTCCTGCCAGTCCACTTAAAAACAGTAGGTTATTGTTTCTGTAATTATTACCGGGGTGGAGGTGAAAACTGTAGACGTACCCGTCCCGAATGGGATTAAAATCACTGACCAGCTCAGCACAAACAATGAAAGCACCCCACCTCCTCTGGAGAAATAAATCTTGTCCTCCAAATGGGGCTAAACTAGCTTGAGGACATGAAGTTGTAGGATTCAAAAACTGCACTACCTATCAGAATGGAGATTCTTTTTTACAGTGTACAAATTCTTCTAAACAAACACATTTTAATGTGTTTATTTAGATCCCTTTTAGCTCATATTTTACCCGGAAAAATTTATTGGTATGAGAGCAAATATTGTTTTCCGAGCCATGACTCAAGCCTTGAACTACCAGGATGCGCTCCCACACAAACACTTAATTATCAACATGAGCAAAATGGCACCACACGTACATGGTCTGCTACCTCAAGCCGCTCTTCCATTCCCTCTCCCAGCTGGTTTCCAATTATGTCCTTTCCTCATTAAAACTCAGAGAACAGGAAGTCGTAAAAACGCGGCAGGTTTTTATTAGCGTCGCACATTTACTGCCCTCCCCTCTCCTCCTCTCCTCAGTTAACAACGTATCTGTTTTCACGCAGGCGGCTTTTTAATCTGGCCGAGTAAACAACACACCTTTTTTATTTTCTGCTGTTTGTTTATTGTTCCTCCATGATCAGGCCATTCTGCCTCACAAAGTGGAGACTATAAAATATCACCGGACGCAATAATCTGTCTGCTTCTCTGATGTTATATTACTTCGGCAGCCTTGCCATATAACACCGGCCTGTTTTATGAAATATGGCTCAGTTTCATTTAGTGGCTTGTTTGTCCAGTAAAACCGTGTCAGTGAATCAAACTGCTGCTTAATGAAAAGCAGCTGAGGAGGAAAACTTTTTTAAAGCCAAGCATAGTGATCTATCATGAAGGAAAACATTTGTTTGTGTGCAGATGAGGCATTAATGTTAATGGCCAAACGTTTACAGTAACTGTATTTTATAGGTTAAACAACGAAAAACTTTTAAAAAATCTGTACAGTAACTTATCTGGTGACACTGTTGGTTTTTGGTTTTTGGTTGAACATTGGAGATTTTTATAGTTATTGAACCTTCTCCTTTGCCCTCTTCTCTCTCTTCCTTTTCAGTTAATTTCAGTACAACTTACCTTACACCTTTACACACTTTTCACACTTTTCACTTTCCTTCTTTTATCGTTTTAGGGTAGGTTTGCAGTTTCTCTTTTTCTCAACAAGTCTTTGCCTCATGTACTCTCACACTATATCTACGTATTCTAATGACTGTTTACATACAGTACATTAGTATTCTGGTTTTGAATCTTAGCCTGGCTTTGAAGTGATCGTATGAAACATGAGAAACCTGGTTATTCAGCTCCTTGCATACATGATTTTAATAAGTATCAAGGATTTCAGTTCATCTGTGTGATGGTGTGTCTTTGACTCTTCGACATTTCATTGCTGACTGAGTTAACAGATACCTAAAAAGAATCTCTGCACATTTAAATGTGTGACAGGTGCATGAAAGGGAAGTACAACTTGAATGAAAAGTGGAAAAAGCTGTCTTGCTTACTGCTGGTATATTTATTTACAACAGTCTTCATCACTTATATAGACCACAAAAATCTAATGAGTTGGTTAAACACTTTGAGAAAAAACATATTGTCATCTGCGTAATAAAGTCATTTTTTCCTTAAAAAATCAGACTATCCAAATATAGTTTCCTCATTCTTTGGGTTGTCTGTGGGTTGTTGTACTCTTTTATGTAGATGAAATTGTAAGATTTGGATTTGTAAATCCAGTAAATTTTCACCCGTTAATGTTTTCACTGTCTCTTTAATCTACAGTAGTTCCTCGTCATTGGTTCGAGGATACGTACCACGAGCCTCCACCTTCACCTCCTCCACCTCGACAGAGGAGCTGACCCCGGACCACACCTCTTTGGACTCCGTGGCTGACAGCGGCCGTGGCAGCTGGACATCCTGCTCCTCCAACTCCCACGACTCCTTCCAGAGCCTCCCCACCTCCTCCTGCCGGCCCTGGGACCACGGCATCCACGGGCATCCGCTCTCCCTCCCGCACACACACCTGGGAGGCTTCAAGCACACACAGCTGACCGGGCCCATAGCAGAGGTCGAGGCCGGCGCTCAAGCGTGGGCAAGCGAGGACTCCGCCACCAAGCAACACTCCAGAAACTCCAGCTCTGATCTGTCCAATCAGTCTCGGCAGAGCTGGGCGTCGTCCAGCTCGCTGTCGGACACCTACGAGGGGAATTACGGGACGATAAAGCGGCGAAACACCTCGGAGCACCCCTCCTCGCCAACCAATGAGGAAGGAGGGCAAAGCACAGACCCTGTCTACAAAACGGTGACGTCAAGCACAGAGAAGGGCCTCATAGGTGAGGGGTCAGGTTGCGAGTTTGATTCCCTGTAAACACAGTGTGACAGTGGTCGCTACGTGTGTCTGTTGAGTGGTGTGTGGTTGTCTGAATAGTTACAGTAGAAAATAGTCTTCCCCATTACACCATTACACAGTAAATTAAGTAAAGTCTGCTGTTTTTAGGTGAATTACTGCCGCTTTGTTGTTGCTTGACTTGCTGTTACAGGCTAGTGAACAGCTGGCAAATGCTGCACTTCTGCATTTCTTAGATCTTGGGCTGAGAGCCCAAACAGATCTCATTCTTGTCGCTTTTGGCTCTCAATCTGACAGGAATTATGGAGAATCATCGTTAGCCAGAACGTAAATTTGTCTTTTGGATCTTCTGCTGTAGTTTCATGGTAAACTAAGAGACTATGCAGTTTATCGGATTTATGAAGGTAACAAAACTTTTGGCTTAGGAGTTATAGAGTAGTAGAAGAGGAGTTAAGACAATTAGTCAATTAATCTACTAGTAGAGCAGCAGAAAATTACTTGACAAATATTTTTGATAATCGATCAATCGTTCAAGTCAGTCATTCTCTGCCCTTTTTACTTTGTTTTACATGTAAATTGAATATCTTTAGGTTTTGGACTGTTAGCCAGACAAAACAACTAATCTGAAGTCCTCACCTTGGGCACCTTTTTCACTATTTTCTGAACCAAACGATTAATCGATTAATCTGATGAATAAATAATAAAGATTTTAGTTGCAGCTCTAGTTTTGTCTGTATCCGCTGCAGCCATCCATCTCATCGGTTATATATATTTTTCTTTTAATTTCCAACACGTTTTGATGCATGTATAGGTGTGTATTGTGTTTGTGAGACATCACGTTGATTTAATTTTTCCATTATTTTCTTTTGTTTCTCCCCTCCTCATACAACTCCCCACACACCTCCTTTTCCGGCGACTTCTTCATCCCGGTCACTCTTCATCCCTCGCTCCCCTCCTCCTTTCCTCCATCCCTCCTTTCTTTTGACCTACACCTCCATCCAGTGTACTGTGTCACCTCCCCCGCCAAGGATGAGCGTTACCGAGCTCCCCCTCCCACCCCTCCAGGCTACCAGGGTCTGGCTCTGGGGGATCTCGGCCTCCCAGACGGAGTAGTAGGTGGGCCAGGAGGTATCAGACCTCACCTCAGACCTCCAGACTACAGCGTGGCCCTCCAGAGGAGCAAACTCTTGCAGAGCCCTGGAGCGGCCGGCGGTCTGGCTGAGGCACGGAGGCTGGCTGCTAACCATCACCTCCACCACCAAGAGGCTCGGACTGCGGGCTCCATGCAGGGCCACTCCAGACCGCCCAGCATCTGTGTCCCACCACAGGAGCTGGCTGACATTGAGGATGGTACGTCCCACAGGATGGTGAAAATCGTACAAAAACAGAAAATACAACAGATTTTTCATGAAACAGAATAGCCCTTTTTTTAGCTAGAGGATTTATTTCCATAGCACGTTCATGCTATGTGTCAAATTAGTGTCTCAAGTATAAACCCAAAGGGAAAAGAGAAATGTGACTCAGCTTTACCCCTTAAACTCTGACATGATCTGAGATTGTTTTTACTGTCAGATAGTTTCATACAATGTCCTCAGGGGTCAATCATTTTTATTTTGCACAAAAATAAACAAAGAAAGTAAAACAATAGTAGTGAAATTTAGATTTTAGGAATACCATCTGCAATACATTCCTTCTGCAGTGATTGTGAATTGGACATTCTTAAAGGGAGTAGAGTGTTTTGGTGGTAATTGGAAAAAATGGTCCACAAACAATAAAATAATTTCATATCAAGGTATCTGCAGGTGTTGAAAAGTAGCACTAAAAGCATTGAATTTACAAATTCATGCAGTACTGTGAAGAAAATGTGATATAATAAATAATTCCGGATCTTAAAAAGTCTGAAGTGAATCAAACATTGTCCTCTCTTCCTTTTTTTCCAGATGAACAAGTGTCTGCGGTGTAGAGACGTGACCTCACACTCACGCACGTACATATTCTCACACACGGACCAAGTCCTGTTGATCAGGCTTTTGGACTAAGCTAGCAGCCTGCCATCATCACGTATCAGAGCACATCCCCCCGCCCCCCCCGTGTGACATCACCCTGGACCATAATGCACCTGCGGACCAGAGCAGTGTATGTCACGTCACCTCACTCCGCCTCCTAGGACTTGTACAATCATCTCTTTTTAAACCCATTTCACAAAACAAAGAAGAAAAGAAAGATTTTAGATACTTTTTAAAAACTTTTGAACAAAGTAAAAAAAAGACAGTGTGATGGAGTCACATCGCTGTAGATGGCCGTAAAAATAAAGGACAAATTAAAGAAGGAAAGAGTGACAATAACAATGTCTCATGAGAAGAAGTCAGCCTCCTTGGAAACAGACCACCATGTACCTCCATTTTGCGCTCCAAGCTCTCTTGTCTAAAGGTGTTTCACGTTGTTTTTTACAGTTTAAACATGTACAGTGATTTTCTTTTTTTTTTCTTGTAAAAGCATTTTTTCGTCTTTTCATTTGCATCTCTGAGCTTTGTAAAGTTTTTATGTGAGAATAGTGAGGTGGAGCAGACAAAAGGGGATAGAAAGATGTAGTCAGTAGTGTGAGTATTATAAATCACTCGTGGGGGATTTTTGTTTTTGTGTTTGCTGTCAGCTCAAAAGAAGATGAATGTACATAAACAAGAGACAGGAAACATTTGGCCTCTATCAAACCCTGGCACTGATGATGTAAATTTACACAAATAACATCAGTTCCAACGAAAAATAAACCAAATGCACAAGAAAACCGCTACGAAACCAACTTTATTAATCCAGATACTTAGACTTTTGACTGTGTTTGAGGTCAGGAAAGCCCTCAGGAGCCACATAGAGCCCCTCAACATATTATTCACTCCTCTTTCTAAAAGAGAAATTAAACTCCTGAAGTAAGAGAGAGCATGTGTCTGTCTCTTTATGGATGGAAAAAAAAGCATCAGGCAGTTCTCTGTCTTCATGTCGCGCTCTCCGCCACCCAGCCGCCTCTCTTATTGCTCGTTCAGTCTGACACGAGGTACTTTAGCGGCATGCTGCCTCCTGGATGTTCCATAAAAAAAACTGTATTATAACTTGTTTTTAATGAGCTGAAGAACAAATGCCTCGCTGCTTCCTGTAGAGTAAAAACGTGTGTCGTTATTCTATTGCAGCAGCTATAATAAAACTATAAATTAGCACTGTGTGGCCACACAACGTGCATGCATATACACACACACACACACACACACCAAAATCTTAGTTGGTGTGCATAAAGACAAAGGACAGTGTTTACACCGAAGCTTACACGTTTTGTTTACAGTGTTTATTAGACTAGTTGTCTATTGAATTACAAGCTGAAATGTTAAAGTATAATGCTCCAGGTTCATTTGACCTTGTAAATTTGTTTATATTGCAGCAGGAATATGAGATGCAGCATAAAATTTGACTATGTGCTCGCAGTGTACCTCTCGTATCGGTTTTTTGCTTCTTATTTAAAAAGAATGAGCAACAAAACAAGTCAAAAGATAATGTATTTTAATGCCTGGCTTGCATCTCCATTCCATGTTCATAGTACATTTTGTAGAATATTTAAAGGATTTGCTTGAAAATTGTTTATTTGTATTGAAAACGGAAGCAAATTTGTACATTCTGAGAAATGTTTTGGAAACGGAAAATTTCTTTTTAATTGTGTTTTATCTGCAGTGCAGCAGGGGTGTAACTGGAATTAGACGTTCTTCTGCTTTCTGTCTCGCGCTCTGTGATGCTTCTTTCATGTTGTTTTGCCACACAAAGACTTGAAATGATTAATGCTAATATATACATGGCATATATATGAATTTATACATATATATTTTTGTTTCTTTGCCATAAATTAATGTATAGATGAGAGAAGAGAGTCCTCTATAAAGGCTATTTTTGAATATTTTGTTATAAGAAATAATCCAAGGTTGTGATTGCCCTGTTTCTGTCTTTGGGCAGGAGTCTTTTAAGGAATTAGTTCTTGTCATTGTTCATGACTTGTTTTCTCCTCTCACACTCTGTTGTTGGGGCCATTTCTGCTCTGTCTATAGTTGTAATTGCTGCTGTGGTTTGGGATATGACTGTGTGTGTGTGTGTGTGGAGGAATTATATTTGCGAAATAGCGATCAACATAGCATTTTTTTAAATCCAAATTTGGATCAGTTTTGGCATTCAGCACATAGGGAAAGGCTCAGAAGTCTTTTTCAATAAAAGCCCTTCTTAGTTCTTAGCTTTGATCGCTCCTGCCTGCAGAGAAGTGGGGCCCTTGTGGGATCGGTTTCATGGCACGAGGCGAGTTCATTCAAACTCAGACTGGGTGATTGAGAGGAGTTTTTTTGATGCTATATAAATCAGTCTATTTGAATTGAACAGAACAAGCCCCGTCACGATGCCATCTCTAATATCGTCTCTGAGCCCCATCAACTCAGCGGCACTATAGACTTTCAACCTCACTGTACTCGTCTGATGGATTTCCCTGAATCCACTGTGACCCTCGCCCTACTCCCCTTTTTTTCGTTTTTAAAATAATCTCAATGGTAGAAACTTTGAAACAGACTGAGAGTCAGAAACTGACAATTCCTCTCTTTGTTTTTGCACAACTGTATTCCTCAGATTCTTAACCATAAATCAGTATTAATGTTCTGCATGGATGATTTAAAAAAAAAAAAATAGAAGCATATAAGAGTTGGCCCAGATGTTATAAATGGCACAGACTTAGATATTTTTACCTGCTTTCAAATGTTAGATTGAGAGCGAAACAGCAGCCATGCGTTGGTCTTTCCATCAAGGTTGTTTCCTAGCTAATGAAATTAAGGAGTTTGTTTTATTCCTCACGTGAGCTTTATAAGCACTCCAAGACAAGATGCTACATTTTATTTTTATTTAGTTTTTATTTCAGGGCTAAATTTTCATTTAGCAGTAACCACCTCTTCTCCTACTCTGCATACAGTAGGTATTTTTTCATGGAGGATCTGGCAGTGAGCAGCTCTTTGCACTGTGAACAAAACATGTCAGTGTTTTTAACAACATAAAACTGTAGAGGATGAACACCCCCTCTCTCACAGCTTGATGAAATGATCTGGCTGATTGTGATTTTAGCCCCCTCGTGTCCTGCCATGTTACCTGGAATGCAATAAGAGAGATGTGAATGTGTTTTATGTAGACATCTTTTGGCATTACAGCAGAAATGCACAACAATAAGCTTAAACGTGGTGAGTGTGCTGCACAATCTGTACAAAGAGGTATTAACTTGGTCTGTGGCTTAAAGTTTGCTTTCGTCTCACACTTCTCATAGCTGTTGTAACTTATGTCTTTTAGAAAGACAACATGATTTTGCTCGTACGCTTTTTATGTATTTTTTACGAGTGATTGTAAATAGTTGTTATATTTTTGTTTAAGAGAATGTTTAAAAAGGAAAAAAATACCTTTTATTTCTCCAAGTCTACTGATATGAATTTGGACAATGAATAAAATGTTAAGCAGAAACAATTTTGTGTCTTTATTCATGCTTGATATCTGGTTAGTTCTCTAAATCACTGGGGCTATTTAATTTTGACTTTTCTTTATATTTTTACCTCTTCAGGTTTCTAAAACGATGAAAAGGAATCCATTTTTTTAACATGCATTCATGCACCCACAAATATTCAAACTATTCAAGCCTGCACAAGAGACATTTTGTTTAGTTTTTTCATTAAAACCCGCTTCAATATTCTTTCTTCGCAGGTTATTATTTGACTGCCTGTTCCTGCCCGCAGCAAAGTCCGCTGGGTCCTGCGGGATTCAATTCCAATGCATTCTTCTAAACTACAGCTTTAATGTGCTCAAGACCTATCAGTAAAAGCAGCCACTGCTCACTGTCAAAAAACATCTTCTCAGTGCTGCAGCAGCCAACCAGCATTTTGTTTTTTATTCAAACATTTTTAGAATTGGATGAAAATATCAACATGCAGTTATAATTATTCTGACTGCTTTCTGGGAAGGTCATCAGATTATGTGGTGGTTCAACAATATCCAACAAGTGGCAGTGGCAAATAATTATGTAATTATTATTGTGACAAAGACAGGGATTGAAGCATCCCAGTAAGCATGATTTGGTCATTTGCATGTCCTAATGCTTAAGTTAACCAGGCTAAATCTGGAACATTTTCAGATGTTTCACACTGTACAGTATAACATTGTCTGAACAGCATATAGTTACTCAAATGCTGTCCAACCCACACTGTTATGTAACCTAGATGTCGAAGGAATTATACTTTTCAGCCAGATTCATCCCATTTGGAGGCTGAATGTCTTGTTGTTTTTGACCTGAAACTAACAGGAGGCTTGTGGCCTCTTTGTTTCCATTTTGCCAAGACAAACACAGCCAGTATTTTGGGTGTAGTTTCCACTTTCTGACACTTTTGACCAGTAAATCTTCACACAAAAGAGAAGGCGGTTAATCTCTCCTTGTGTTGTTCAGATGTCCTCCGCTTCGTCCTCACCGTCTCTCAGCCTTCTGCTGCGTTCAGCTTTACATCAGATCTGATCAGAGCCGGAGTGTGTCACGCTGTGCTCAAGGTCAGGTTCCTTTTATTACTCATTAAAGGTTTACTGTCACACAGAGGGGCAGGAAGTCACGCTGGTTGCTGTGTGTGTGTGTGTGT